TGTAGTCTGTCAAAGTACACATTGAAATAGAAGATGCAGTGCACAGGTTGTTGAGCTTTTACTGGACAGTAACGATACGAGATCACTGCAATTCCAAATATCTATAAAGTAACAAAACTAACTTCAACACACTTCATACAGGATTCAACAGACTATGATAGTTAGCATAGACTCTCAAACCAAACCAAGATATAACTTACTGCCAATAACACCGTTAACGGGGATATCAATAGAAGTAGTGTAGCTAGCAGCTTCACTGAGGAGATAAACATAAGCACCACCAAGCTCCTGCACCTCGGCAAGACGAGGGAAACCTCCATAATACTTAAGCTGCTGCTCCCAGTCCGGCTGCTGGGGCACCCAGTAAGTCATAGCGGTGTTAACCAGACCGGGGGAGACACTGTTAACACGGATACCGTACTGAGCCCACTCCATAGCGAGGGTGTGTGTCATGTTACGGATCCCGGCTTTGGATGCACCGTATGGTGTAGAGGGGACACGCTAAAAAAGGATATCAGTAAAAAGGAAGAGTGACTCAAAGAAGCCGGGATGTATATGTATACCTTGTTCGGCCGGTAAGAAGCCATAGAAGCAGTGAAAACAATAGAGCCCTTAATTCCCAACTTAATAAATGCACGGGCAGCAGCCCGGGCGGTATAGAACGCCCCGAAGAGGTTGACATTGAATAGGTTCTCGATCTCTTCCTTGGTGAAGTCGAGAGCAGCTTTGTGGTGGGTTCGGCCGGCGTTGACAACCATGCCGTGCAATGCACCGGCTTCGGCTATGATCTGGTCGACGGCTGCTGTGATTGTTTCTTCTTGTGTGACGTTGGCATTTACGGCAAAAAGCTGGCCCGGGAATCGCTTTGACAGAGCGGCGAAGTCATCGCCGGTTTCGCTAATGTCGATTGAGTATACCTTTGCGGCTCCGTTGACGAGGCAGCATTCGGCGATGCCGAGGCCGATGCCTCGGTTGGCTCCAGTGACTGTTTAGCTTAGAGGTTAGATACTTGGCTGGACTTGAGGGATAGTATGTTGGTACTTACTTGCGATGACCTTGGAGCCGAGGGTGACCTGGGTCTGCGGGACAACCGCGGAGGTGGTAGAGTCTGAAGTCATGATGAGGATTATGATATGAAAAGGAGAATTACTTTTCGAATGCTACTTACCTCAAAATGAGGTGGAACCCGCGTTACTTATAGCTATTCTCCTACATTGAGATCAACGCAAAAGACTTGTACTGTTGCGCAAATTCCCCGGCTCGAGGGAGGCGCGGTTTGGCGGGGAGACCCCCGAGACGAGAGACACGATCGTCGCATTTCGGGGCCAAAACGAGGGTCTCCATCGAGGCGCGGGGTCTTCTTGCATATGAAAGCTCCTGAGACCCAAATGATCTAGGAGAACTCTTCTATATCCCGTGCAAATTCTTTTCATATCGATATCACCTTTCTACTTCACAAACTGTCTCCCTTGTTAACAATGGCTCTCCCCGCATGGAACTTACTCAAAGGAAAGACCGCCGCCATCACCGGTGGCACAACGGGCATTGGTCGAGCAATTGTCCTGGAATTTGTCCGTCAGGGGTGCAACGTCGCAGTGAACCATCTCGCCTTAGACGACTCGCACACCCACAGTCTCCTCGAAGAAGTGAAAGCCATTGAGAAACAAGGAATCAATGCAGGCAAAGTGCTCGAGCTAGCAGGCGACATCACATCCCCAGAGACCAGCAGCAAGCTCATTTCCGAAACCGTCAGTCAATGGGGCAAACTAGACATCTTCGTTGCGAACGCGGGAGTCTTTAAACAAGCAGAGTTCCTGAAGTGAGCTACAACCAACAGAGCTCTCAACGAAAACATACGCTAAAAATACCAGAATCGAACCCGCTCTTCTAAACCACAGTGTCGACGTGAATATCAAAGGAGCCTTCTATTCCTGCCAAGCGGCCGCACGCCAGATGGTAAAGCAAGGCCACGGCGGCTCAATCATCGGAATTTCCTCCGTCAGTGCCCTGGTAGGTGGTGGCCTGCAGACACATTACACACCTACCAAAGCGGCGATCTTGTCCATGATGCAGTCTATGGCTATCTCACTGGGCAAGGATCAGATCCGGTGCAATGCGTTGATGCCTGGCACGATCAATACGCAGCTTGCCGATCACGATATGAAGAATCCGACTAAGAAGGCTGCGCTTGAGGCGCGAATTCCGCTTGGTCGAATTGGGAGCCCCGAGGATATGGCTGGGCCAGCTGTGTTTTTGGCATGTGAGGAGATGAGTCGTTATGTTAATGCTTCTGGGTTGTTGGCCGATGGGGGTATGTTTAGTAACTTGCAGTGACCTTGGGGATTGCTATGGAGTGAATATATAGACTTTGTTTTGTTGATTAGCCCCCGGAGAAAACATCAGATACCTAGAAGGGTATTCAGCCGTTGCGTATCAAATCCTAGATATAATTGAATTGACTAATGTCTTATTCCCGCAAATTGAATTTGTGAAGTTCGGCATCTGGCCAAAAGAGCTGGACGAAGCTGACAAAAGCATATAAACACCGAGCAAACTTGAAAATATTTATTTACATTTATGGCTAGGGACTCGTTGCCTTGCTTATTTCAAACAGAAAATGAGCGCAATGTACCATAAGGCAAATCCATTGAATAATCCTAGTTCTGTGCCCTATTAACCCGAGTTTAAATCCCAAGCAACGCACCTTTAACATGACTCCCTAACTGAACCCTCCACAGCCGATGCTCATTCAAAGCAAAGATCTCACCATCCTTGCCAAAACAAAAGTTGGCACACCCACCGTCAATTCGAATACGCCCAAGGAGAACACCACCAGGCGACCAAACATGAATTCCATCCCCACACCCACTATAAACGTTCCCCTCAAGATCACACTTAATCCCATCAGGAATGCCATTATCAGCCATAGCAAACAACCGACGATTAGTAAGGAACGGCTGGCCATGATAAACCGACAGATCAAAAGCATAACTATTCAACATCAGCACACACCCACCCAAATAGATCTCATAGGAAGCACAAACATAGAAGAAACCCGATGCGGATCATCCGTTCCATCACCATGATGCCGATCGGTATCAGTAACATAAACAGTGCACTCATCAGGCGAAAAACAAATCCCATTCGGCCTTCCAAACCCATCAGCAACAGCACGAATACTGCGATCAACCGGATCAAAGCGATAGACCTGACACGGCAATGCGGGGGCAGGCCTATACCCCTGCTCGAATCCATAGATTGGATCCGTGAACCAGATCGACCCGTCGGAATGCACGACGACATCGTTGACCGAGTTGAACGGCCGACCTAAGAAATCGCCTACGAGTAACTTGGACGTGTATGGCGCTGTTGTTGACATGGTGTACAACCCGCTTGGCTCGGTTAGGTTTCCCTGGCCGCAGATTAGGATTTCGTTGGGGCCGTAGTTTACGCCGCCGTTTCCCATTGGGATTGGGGGTTCGAGTTCTTCGCAAGTCACTGGGGTGGTTGATAGGTTGATGCGGGTGATTTGGATCTTTTGGTTGTTGTTGCTGTCGGTGTATCGGTTGCTGGTTATAAAGAGGTGATTTGTGGTTGGGATGTAGACGCCTGCTTCGTGGGCGAAGGGGTATGTGTCATTTTGGTATAAGAGTTGGAGGGTTGGGGAGTGCCCCAGGATGGAGTGGAATTTGTCGTTGTGAACTTGGAAGGTAGTTTCAGACATGATGCTCCGTGTATAGACTACTGTATGTGCTAAGGGAGAAAGAGGAGGATATCCGGTTACAAGGGAAAGGGGGTCTAGGTGTACTCGTCTCGAGGCATATCCATATCCACCCCACCCCCCTCTCACTCCAGAAGGTAGACAAGTTGACAATTTATAGAGACCGTTGGCCGCAGCTACAATCAAAACCGCATTCCCCAAACTACCTATCTACAAATATCCAATCCTAATAATGACCTGGCAAGAAACAAACCGCTACAAAACCATCCTCCACGCCGCCGAAGCCGGCAAATACGGCGTAATAGCAGCAATAGCCTACAATATCGAACAAATTCTGGGCCTAGTCCAAGCCGCCGAAACCGCCAAATCCCCTTTAATCATCCAATTCTTCCCATGGGCAATAACAGCAACAGATGGCCTACTAGTGCGCACAGCAGCAGAAGCCGCCAAGCGCGCAAGCGTGCCCATCAGCATCCACCTAGACCACGCGCAATCCGAAGCCATTATCAAACGCGCGGCTGATACACTACCATTCGACAGTATCATGGTCGACATGTCGCACTATGAAAAGGAGGAGAATCTCGCCAAGACCCGGGCTCTTGTTGAGTATTGTAATGCGCGGCAGATTGCGACTGAGGCGGAGCCGGGACGGATTGAAGGGGGTGAGGATGGGGTTATGGATACTGCGGGCTTAAAGGCTTGTATGACTACTGCTGAGGAGGTTGATGAGTTTGTTGGGACTGGGGTTGATGCGTTGGCGCCTGCTTTCGGGAATGTACATGGGGAGTATGGGCCCGCTGGCCCGCAGTTGGATTATGAGAGGTGAGTTGTTGGCTCTTAGTTCTTTGTTTCTTTTTTTTTTGGTTATTGGAATAATTGAGTAGGATGCTCATGTTGATGCTGATGCTGATTATTGCTAGGTTCGAACAAATTCGTCAACAGGCTCGTGGACGGGTTCATTTTGCGCTTCACGGTACCAATGGCTTCTCGCCGGAGACGCTGAAGTATTGTGTTGCAGCTGGTGTTACCAAGATCAATGTTAACAGGCTTGTTCTGGATGACTACTATGATCACCTTCGCGCGAATGTGGGTAAGATGCCACACACTCAGTTGATTGAGGAGGGGATTCAGAAGGTGGCGGATTTGACTGTGAGATGGATGGAGATTTGTGGATCTGCTGGAAAGGCATGAGTGATGCTTTTGAGAGAGACTATTGTATACAATGATCTTGACATAACTCTGCAGCCAAATTAAGGAACGAGTTGAGTGTCATTATCACCTAAGACCTTGTAGGTTCGTGCAGACCCCAGATTTGCTGTAGCTCATCTCCTAAGGACCGAACCGGCCAGCCGGTTCTTTTCCTGCATGATTCCAGTAGTTCTAATATAGCCTCTCGGGCTTGGGGTTCTTGTGTAAATATTCCTGCTGTGTTAAGATTAGCGTTCGATCTTTCTGCCTGTACTGAGATTGACATACCGATGAATAAAGCTTGTGATGACATGAGACTAGAGGCGTCATCTTTCAATGTCATAGCAATACCACAGATTCTCTCCACACAACGCTGGATGGTAATCTGTCGCTCCAGGTATTGTGTGAGCCCTCCAAGACTTGGCTCATGGGCGATCAAGAGGATACGCGCAGCAGAATAAAACTGCATGGCAACAGCTGTAACGAAAGTTAGCTTCGAGAGCTAATAGTGAGGCAAATATCTCCAAGATCAATACAAACCGAATGCAGGCGGGCGAATCCAGACAGGACGGAAACACCCCGTCTTCTCACGAGAGCTGACAGGCAAAGGCGAGAACTCAATGGTCAAATGATCCCGCCAGTCATCAAGCATAGCTCGAAGATACTTAGCCTTATCTAGTCGGCGCTGAATATATCCTTCAACATGTGGGCCATCCTCAGCACAATAATTGATTACTTTAGCAGTGATATACACGGCGCGCGCAGCCAGTTCATGTGGTGACAATGCCGAGAGGGGCTTATGGGGAGTCCAGAACGTCAAAGTCTTGCGCTTCTCTCGGAAAGCAGCCCAGACATCCTGGCAGAGCCATGCCCACCAGACAGCGGCTTGTAATCCGCCTGACTCGCCGTGGATGACTTGAGATCTTTGAATTAGGAATACACCTTCGAGATGTCGTTCCCAGTCGTTGGAGGAATTGTCTAGCATTTCATATGCAGAGATAATAAGGGCTGTTGAGAGGAGTTCCCAGCTAGTCATGTAACTGGATTTCTGCATTGCTCTCTGAACATAGTGGAGGGTTTGGTAGTAGTATTGGAGGGCTGCTTCTTTGTTTGGTGAATCCTCGTTATCCAGGCGGGGATTTAGGGACAGATGTCGACAGGCTAGGGCGAGAATGGCGTTTAACAGTCCAGCATTTCGTATCTAGTGATCGGGATTTAGTCTTACTCTTTTGAAAAATCATGGTCGACTTACTGCCAAATGTGCAACGAGCGTGGAGAATTGGCTGGTTGGGTCAAACAGATCGATCTAATAGTTGATTTAGAACAGCAGATAAGATTCGCAAGAAGTTATCACCTACCCATTGACTAACATGTTGTACAAAATGTTCAAACAGAAAATGTTCCCGAGGCAAAAGCTCAATTGGCTCTCGAGACTGCCAGATGTGCTCCTCTTCACCCGCATTGCTTGACTGCGAAGGAGAAACAATGGAGCCCTGGCCTACAATCCCATTTACATGAGGAAGGTCAAGTACTTGTGTAGCTCGTTGCAGGGAAGTGATCTCTACTTGATCACCAGCTTGCGGGCACTCAAACGGGAGACTATCATTCCCATATCCAGTCGGAATAGCTGGTACTTGCTGGTGATCTCGGGCGTCGTTCGCCAACAGATCAAACCACCAACTCGCTGCCGCATTCACAGTTGGTCCAGGAGAGGAGAATGAACCGGTCACGGACTGTAAGATGTACGAGGCATCAGAAGGAGAGAGATCGTTTGGATACAGTGCGACAGGACTTTGGTGGGTAGTCAAGTCAACACTCGCCAGGTGGCCATGCCTTGCATGGGGAGTTGGTGCCTGGGGAGGTGGTACATGCGGAGACAGACGCTGGGACGGCAGTTCATGAGATGTTGCCTCCTGAGGCTGTACCTCCTGTGGAGGTAATGTCCGGGGGGACAAATCGACACCACTACGCGGCGGACTTCGTGTATCCTGCCTCACACGGCTCTGCACACTCTGCACCCTCGATCGAGACGGCGAAATAGACCCATCAATAACAGTATCCAAGAAATTGCGACGAGGGACAGGCGTCGTTGCATAATCACACGAGCGATTATTCTTTCCACAAGCCCCACAATTCGGTCTCACCTCATCGCATTTGATGTGACGCTTGCGACATGTAAAACTGTGAGCGCATTTGCATTAATACAATACAGCGCACTGGACAATTAACATGTACAGTATCTCGGGCACGGCACCGGGGTTGAGCACCTGAGGAGTGTGGATTGTCTCGGGTAGAGGCTGGCTTACCATCCATTTGTTGTGCGTAGGCCACGGCCTCGCGACTTGCGTGTGCGTGCGCGTTTTGCGGAGGCGGATTCTGATGCCATGCTCGTGTTTGTATCTGTGTGTTCATGCAATTCAAGGGAGTTGCAGGGAAGTGATGGGGTTTACCTCGTCTCGGGGGTTTGGAGTTGCGGAGATGGCCCACTTGGTGTGTGTTGGAGCAATGACGGGGTCTGCCTGGTTCCCCATAAAACTGGCAAATCGGAAGTACCGGTGGCATCTTGTCAGGTACTTTGAACTCCTATTGGTATGGAATTGAGTGCTTATGACATTGAATCTCTAATCGGGTGCCGATGCAACATTTGCGATTTCGAAAAATTGTCAAAAGCAAGGAGAAATAAACGGGCAGATGACCGTGTTTGACTGAAGGTCCACGAATGCTACGATGTCTAAGTGAAGAGTCCAAAATGAAAGGATAATAACAATGTCAGGTAGGCAAGTGTCGCCAAACGATAAAAGGTGTCTATGTGCAAGGCATCCCAAAACAAAAGCGCTACTCCTCAGATTCAGGAATCTCAGGGTCAGGGAAAGAAAAGACCCCATCAGCGTTCCACACAGCCGGCGGCGAAAAGTCCTCATACCAAAGGCCACCCAAGGCATTCGTATGAACATAACCAAAACGGAAGTATTCCAACTCATTTGGATAGGAGCGAGACCAAGAAAAGTCAGGCATTGGCTCGCCATCTTTAGAGCGGAACGCTTGAAAGCGCTCGACGTCATTCACCAGAACGCTGAGGCCGTCGGCATGGGATTCTATATCCGGGAATGCGAATACAAGACTGTTTCGGTCGACAATGGACGGGGGATAGATTTTCGGTGGGATGGTACCCAATTTTGCGCCGTCAAGGAGGGCGCCTGGGGTTTGGAGGATGGAGTCGAAGCCCCAGCGGGCGATGCCGTTGATGAACAGGCCGACGAGGATACCCTGGTATAGAAGACTAGGACGGGTTTGGAGAGTTGTACCAGGGAGGAAAACGAGGGAAAGGATGTAGTGATGGATGCGTAGGTTCATGTGCGGGACGGCAACGAGGATGAGGATAACTGCGAGGAGGACGCCGTAGATGCTTAGGGTGGGGAAGAAGCGGCCCTCGCGACGGAAACAATGCGCTTGGCCGAGGGCGATCGCGACGAGGGATCCAACGATGATGATCAGGGAAGTCAGTGCGCCTGGCTGTTGCTGGATATCGTGGGGTGTCAGGCGGGAGATGGGGATCCTGTCGAAGGTGTCGGTGTTCAAGGCACCGACCCAGCAGCCACCCAGCCATAAGACAGTCTTGTCCCAGTGCGCATCTAGATTGCGCAAGGTGTGTCGAACGCAGAAGTGATAGATCACGAAGCCCACAAATGCGCCTGGTAGGAAACGACCGAGCCCGATTGATATCAGGTCGTATAAGCTCCCGTTCGAGGGCGGGTCGGATGCCATGGCGACTTCAAACCATACAATGAAATAGATTGCGCAGTAGAAGGCCGGGGCAGAAGTCACAACCAGTGACAAGAGAGTAGTCCAGATCAATGTGAAGGCGAACAGCGACCAGCGAACATCCGAGCACTTTATCAGCTTTGCCTCGCTTGAGTCTGATGAGGTTGCCTCCCTAGTGAGCCGGAACGACATTGGGAAGCTCGAAAGAAAGTTGATACTCTCGATGCCATTCTGGACCACCGACCGGAAATTCCGCTGCTCGCCGGTGCGGTGCAGGATGCCACATCCACCAGTCGCATCATCGATGACACCAGCATGCAGAGCCGACGCGCAAATGGACGAGTCGCCACGGTAGATGCCGCTGTTGTGGCTATCCAGCCTGAAAGGCTTGCCACCAATGACCAACGGGCGGTAGTTATACTCCTCCGCACCGACGACATATGGCTCCAAGAGAATAGCCTGCGCACACCCCGAGGGACAGCGGAAAGCGAAAGACTGATCCTCAAAAGGACGACAAAGGTCACCATTCATGCCACAATTTGTAGCATTATTCCTATATCAAGGTAAGTCACACAAACCAATCTCACTCAACAAATAAGAATAGAAACATACCATAGTCGATGGTGACACGACAGCTTAACAGGCTGCCCATACCCCAAAACATCCTGACCAGCAATAGAAGCCTTGAGCGAGAAAAAGAACACAACGATCCAAAAAACAAGCCCACCAAAAAGCAACGCGATCTTCGAACTTCTTTTCGGAAATTTGCGATCTATCAGAAGCCCCGGCGCAGCCTGTAACCGTGGGAACCAAGGGTTGATGTGATACGCATGCGGTGGCTTCGGGCCGCGGAGCCACGCGCAAAGCCCTGAGGGCGTACAAGAAAACCACGGATCATACGCGCCTTTTTCGGTCGGTAGTTCCATGCCTTGGCGATCGGAGGGCAGGAGTGGGATGTCGCCCAATTCTAAATCGAGGCTGAAGTCCTCGCTGTCGCGCGCGCCATGTTCGTCTTTGAATGGTCCGATCTCCTGTAAGGGAGACTCCAGTGCAGCTGCAGTTGTCTCACCTGTCCCGGCTTTATCAGAGTAGGCAGGCCCTGGTTGCGACTGCATTATGAGTCTATTTGTCTTAGTGTTCAAACATCAAAACAGCCAGAACGTTGTAATTCCCCTGTCTCATTTTGTCTGAGTTGGGTCCGATTTCTTGGCTTTTAGTCATCCGATCAGGATGTGTCTTCACCACATGGACATCCTCCATAGATCTATGAGAGATATTCATTGTAAGCTTAGTCGCAAATATTATTACTTTGCTCGTAAGTAAACTGGAAAGCGGTACACAAAGGACAGACCATTCCCAAAATTAGGATTGAACTCAAATCCACGGCCCAACAAGCCGCACAGGCTGGGCCTTTACCTTGATTCCCAAGCAATTTCTTGCAGATTTTGTATCATCATATGCGAAGTATATCCTTCCAAACATCTCGTAATAACCTCGTATCGAAACCCAATAAACTTTAACACATGGTGGCAACCCTGCAAAGTCAACAGCCAACAAAATTACTATATGATTGGCAGACATAGTATCGAACCAAATCCAAAGCTACCAAAGAAAGCCGGTCAAAAGATGAAGAGTGTGTATTGTAGATAGAATTTAAAAGAGAGATCAAGAATCAAATGTGCAAAGCACCAAAAAAATATCAGTCCACCCCGGGTATCAACATAAGTCGTAATTCGTTGGCCTTCAAATCATGAGGGAGAACACGACGAGAAAGGAAAAAGCCAGATATCATGAAATGATGGAAATCGCGATGTCCAACGGTATCTGGCACATCCAACCAATAGCGAAAGCATTTCTTGTAAGGTGATTGTGCGCAGACCTCATATCTCATGCGAATTTAATTAGGCTGCAGAGCGACCCCAGCGACGGCGGCGACTATTGGATATGTTAGCACTGGTATAGGTACACGAGTGAAAGATATGAATCCACTTACGCTCCATCAGTGGTAGAAGGGCGAACACGGAAGGTAAACCAAATACCCTGGATCGATTGTTAGCATTCACTGTGTAATCGAAGATATAGAACGCAAATACTCACCACAAGCCCAGAAACCAACCAGATAATAGCAGAAAGGAAACTGAAAGCCTCGGCTGCCTTCCAACGTCCACACATCTGCTGACCCCTAAAGTGCCAGGACCAGATACTGCCGCAAGGCAAGTGACGGAGCGTATCGACGAGGACACCGAAGGCAGCGAACCAGGCGAATGAAATGAGGATATCCACTGATATTTCATTAGTATCAAACCTCAAGATGGTGTTGCATAGCAATTAGCAATTAACTATGGTAGGAAGCACATACAAGGCCAGGAGAAGAAGCCGGACGAGAATGGGATCAGCCATATCAGGCCTAAGAGTATGGATAAGCCGGCGATTACTTCGGTGTAGATCCATCGCGACTGGGGCCACCAGTCGACATCAGCGTTGGAGTTGTTGAGGTCGGCGAGGTAGTGGCCGATTATGCCGGCGACGACCTGAAAAGTGTTAGTTATGATCTTTCAGAGATGGTTGGGGGAAGGGTTGGGGGTATATACAGCCGCAAAAGCAATTTCCGCGACGCGGAGGACGATAGACACGAGGCGAGAGATGACAGGCATGGTGAAGAGCTGTCAAGCAAAGCGTGCGATGAAGATCTTAGGATCAGTAGATATGATATAATATGATCGAATCAAGGGTTGTAATTTGTCAAGCTCTGACAACTGTAGCGTGGGCAGAGAAGTATGTGGGGGGAACAAGAAGCTATATAAAGTGTTCACGAGGATGTCGCACAGACAAGCAAGCTCCGAGAAAGAGGGAGCGAGGCAGCGTCTTTAAAGCAAGGGTCTAAGGTGTAAAAAAAGCGCAACGAAAAAAAAAAACCAATAAAGTAAACCCAAAAAGTACCTAAAAAAAAGCACAACTTCAGGCACTACCTAGTGTAGAGCCGATCCAAGGCTGTGATGTCAGATCAATACCAGATAGAGACACGCTCAACCTGAGGTCATTGGTCCAAACAAACATATCGTGAAAACGTGCCCAACCAATTTCCGGACCTGTGGACTGACCGCTGTGGACTGTGGCTGAAAATACATGTACCCAGCTACAGGTAAGTTACATGTAGCAGTCTAACGAGTCTAACGATCCGCAAGGAGGGTGCCTACTGTACGGCTTAGACTACATACACTGCACTGTATGCATCGCCCTTCGGACTCTTGGCAGGCTATGCTGGGCATCCCTGTTTTCCCCAGGCCCAGCCTCCAACCCGACGGGATGACGGAGTGTATCTGTGTGTGGGATGTGAGCTGGCATACGAGATGAGCAGGGGTGTGTCATTCTGTCAGTGGCTTTTTCTCTCTCTCTTTTAAGGGTGGGATGGGCTGCCCAGAAGAACAAAACACAAAACACTGCCGATCATTGGGCTATTGGCGATAGCTCTGATTTGGTCCGGGTCGGGTTCCACTTGGGCGATCGTTGCAGTCTTGACAGGTACATGGACGTTTCTTCGGGAATTACAGTGGTGTGTTGCTGTTAGTTTGTGCTTGAGGGTACTGTATCCGGTTTCGAGACCTTGCACCTCTGACGACATTAACTTATATCGAGTCATATGACCTTCAACTTTCAGCCCTATGACGTGGGGGCGATCTCCACATTCAAGTATGATGTTCTTCCATGGTTATGGCTCGGAGCTATTACTGAATATTAACTTAGGATTGATTGAGATAGACTGTTATGCCGATTAGCCGTTCTTCTACGATCGGCATACGGATCCAAAAATGTCAAAGCTCTAGGCAGACATACTCTAGAGAGACAGTATTAGAAACATGCAGACTGGATTCAAATATTGAATGTACGCTTGAAAGGTTCATACTATGAATAGCAACGGCCGCAGCAGAAAAGGTATCCCCACAATGGAGAAGCCAAGAGAGAAGATCATCAAAATGATGCTGCCTGCAAGGTCCCTCGAAAGAACTAAGAAAATTAGTACAGACCGCCCACGCATAATGACGCCCCCACACCTGAGTCAAACTAATATCATCACTGTCGCAACACAAACTAATAGAAAACCTTAGACATTCTTCTGATCGGGCAAATGCCATGCCATGACATCGCGCCACACGCCCTTGGCACCAGTCTCGATAGTATCACCATGACACGGAATCAAGCGATCAAAATCCCACTGCTCAATACGCCTTACAGACTCATTGAAAGCAGGCCGGTTCTTCGAAGAAAGAATATACCAAGCAAACCGTCTCTGCCAAGTAGCAGGCGGCGCAGTAGACATCAACGGCAACAGCAACTTCGTTAAGAAATTCAACTTCGGCCCCTCTGGACTCTTCGAATACTGCTCAGTGGCAGGCAAGTTAAACAGCATATCGGCCTCGATGACCGTGCGCGAAGGCTTATGCAGAAACACCAGCTCGCGCGAGCCATGGCCGTGCACATACTCGGTGTCAAACTCCGCATCGAACTCATTCGAGATAGACCGCGGCAGCTTATCCTCCTTCTTGAAGATATGCTGGAACTCGGTATCCGCGTACTCGGGGTTCGACTGGCGCTTCTCGAAGAGGCCTTCTGGTGCTAGGATCTCCGCTTGCGGATATGCCTTCTTCCAGGGGGTGAGGTGGAGGTGGTGCTCCAGGTCTGGGGCGGCAATGTACTTTACATTGCCACCGAGGGATTCGACTTTCTCGCGGACTTCGGGTGTGAGGCTGACGGGCGAGAAGACTGCGAGGGAACCGGTGGAGAGCTTGACTAATAGGTAAGGAGTTGTTAGCTGCTGATCTTTGATCGAGACATGCTGTGCCTGTGCTTTGACATGATGTGCTTTGGCATGATCCACTCTTGCTCGTGTCTATCTCCCGGGTCTGGATGTGGTATGTGTGTGGGGGGAGGAGCGCTGGTTCTGCAAGGGGGAGCTTACCCAGTGTGCCTCGTCCGCCGAATTGCAGGCGGCCGAATCGCGCGAATGGCAGGCTCATGGTAACTATGTCTGGCGTCACATGGCGGATCACCATGGTCGCTGCTGGATTGGCTGGGAAGAGCTGCGGCATTATGAACTGTATGCGCGTGGGTTCTGCTTTCTTAGCTCGAGAGCTTTGCTCCCTGGCGTTGGTGTCTCAGTGATGTCTTGGTAGAGAGTAGATCTCGGAGTAAAATACTGATCAAAGAAACGGTAAGATGTATAAAAAGTACGAGGCAAGCTGTGGCCAGACCTCAATGATGACGTTATGTCAACTTATTTGCCAAGGCTCCACTTTGGAGCCCGCCAGGGCGAATTGTTCAGCAACTGATTACTAATGTTATATTGGATTATTTCATATTTATGTTCACTTGATTAATGCATTGGTCTATAGAACGCGAAAAGGGGTATCAACAAATTCTAACTCATGAGATCATTGCTCGTGCCTAGACCCAGCTCATGCCGGTTTCTCCCTCGATCTCTTCGCGATGAGGGATGATTGGCTTCTTGATATTAAACACCTGGATGAGTTGTTCCCACGTTTCGTAATCCAAGCTGAACACGGCCTGGTGTTTTTGAATTCCCTGCCTTTGGGCTTCACTAGGCGCATAGGGTTTCGCGGGGTCTATCGAGCTGGGTTAGTTTCTCATCACATGGTTCTGCAAGGCCACTCACGAAGCGTCGGCAACTGGCGACTATCTGTGGATATACCGACGGTCCCATCACGGACCAGGAAACTCACGTGGAACAGGTTTTCGACACTCTGTCCAAATGAATCTGGGTCGATGCAGAAGGCGAACAAGGGGATTCCGCCGTCGTCAGCGATACCACACTCGTCGAACACCTGTTGGATCTGGTCATCGGTGGGATTTTCGACATCCGCGAGCTTTCTCTCGGCTTTCCTTTCACGATTTTGCTGGGTTTCCCCTAGCAGCTTGTTGATATAAGAACACGTCGTTGTCAGATTGACGCTATCCTGCTGACCGAGATCCTGCTGTTGCAATTCCGTGGGTTTCACGGCCAATTCCGGATCGATAGCTTCTCTTGCTTGACGCTGGGTCATTGCACGCACACGTTTCTGCACCGAGAGCGGGCCCAATAACCATCCTGACACGACTGGTCTGGCATTATGTGGGAAGCAGGCCATCTGACCCAGGTAGTCCCAGTTCATTGCATCGCCTTCGTCTTCATCGCTCGCATATGGGTCGCGCTGGCTTTGGCGAGGTCGTCCTCGACGCCCTTGCGTCCCGCGTGGTGTACCCGTATCGTTGGTAGGTCCGCGGCGCATGAACGATATACACTTCGAGACAAACTCATCGACGTCGAGTCCAGCGGAGGCGTCGCCAAGGGCAAGTTGGGCGGTTTTCTTGTGCGATAGGTCTGCAGCATTAACCAGGAGGCGAGAATCGATCGTAGCGTCGGAGGTCTGCTTCACTTGAACGAAAATCTCATTTGCCTTTTCAACCGTCCTGAAAAGACCGTCATTTCCAGATTGCATGAACTCGCCTCGTGAGTCTATGTAGAACGGGTCAGAATACCTTGCCACGAGTCAGGGATCAGATAAAAACGGACCGTTCAGTGCTCTGTTTAAATCCCTCAGCTCTCTCCGCACGCGTCGCCGTTCCTCAGCATCTTGATCTGGATCATAGTATCTGGTATCCCCGTTGCGTTGAGATGGCGGGGCTCCTTGCGACTGAATATTAGAATTGCGGTCTGTGAGTCGACGTCGTTTGTTCAGACGCGAGGGTGCCATCGCGGCTCGCATCTGCTTGTTGGTACTTTGTCGCTGGTTTTCTTTGTCCGAGGTTGACGTTGGTGATGAAGTTGGATTAGGCGTGAGAGAGGTTGCTTCGTCCCTATGTAGAGCAAAACGAGCCATACTCGATCGGCACTCTGTGGTACCAAATGAGAAGACAAAGAAAAAGGGTAGAGAGCGGTAATGAGACTCGATGTAAATTATGAATGAAGATCACGGTATTCTGACGACAATATCAAAGCCTTCAAACACTTGGAAATGATAAGGTCGCGACCATTGACTTTGGCGAGGCGCGTCGCGTTCCATCACGTGACCCATCGTCTCCCCGCGGATCTTATCTACCATGACGCACCCACTTGCTGTCTCCAGATGCAAGATGGAGGCCTTCACCTTTGCCGTATCCACTGACGTGGATATTCCAATTCATGTCAAGATGTATGCTACTTCCTCCTGTTGAATGGTTCTCATATTAACAAGCTCGCAGTGGCTCGTTGGAGGGAAGGCAGAAAAAGATCCTGGATTCAATCCTCAACGAGAACCCCGAACTGCAGTTTATCGCTTCCAATCAAGACCCCGCCTCCGACTTATATGCAACGGTTCAGTTATGGTCGGACTCAAAGCCTATGGGCGTGCCAATGCAGACCAAATACAAGTCCTTCAAAACCCAGCGAGTGTGGAATGAATGGTTGAAGATGCCCATGTCCATCAAGGACGCCCCACGCAACTCTCAGCTGGCGATAACGCTATGGGATCTGTCGCCATTGGCTGCTGATGGTGTACGCCATGTACCGTTTGGCGGTACCACGATCCCACTGTTCGACAAAGATGGGAAGCTGAAAATGGGGAAACAAAAGTGCAAGGTCTATCTTCGACGGGAAGCAGACGGCGATGTCTTTACGTCTACCCCGTTCACTCCAGCGCCCAAGCGCCGGAAAATGCGAGCCCGCGATCCTTCTGAGCCGTCAGCTGAAGAGAAGGAACTAGAACGAGTCGAAGTCCTGATCAAGAAACACGAAATGGGCGAGATCCCACGTGTTGACTGGATGGATCAACTACTTTTCCGTGAGCTGGAGAAGCTGAAGCTTAATGCGGAAAATGCGGCTCAAAAGCGTGCTCTTGAACTTGAGGCTCTTATGCAGAAGGATCCCAAAAGACAAGACAGGAACGATGATTCTGACGAGGAAAAGCCGGATGAAGAATATTTCGATATTTATGTCGAATTTCCACGCTTCGATCACCCGATCGTCTGGGCTGATCATGAATACCCTCCTCCGCCAATTTCATCTTATCCTCAGAACGGGCCTTCGCATCCCAATTCGACTCTCAAGCCCGTCCCGGAGGTCCACTTCGGACCTGGTATTCAACGCGCTGACCCTTACAGTGTCATTCGAATATATGATCCGGAATGTGGTCAAGTCGCGAATCCGTGTGAGGACAAGCATCGACGTCTGATTCGTAGTCATCGGACGGGCATCCTGGATCGAGACCTGAAGCCGAACCCCAAGATTAGAGACGATCTCAGCATGATCATCTCGTATGAACCGACACAGGAGCTCACAGCCGAGGAGAAGGATCTTGTGTGGAGATTCCGGTACCATCTTACGCGCGAGAAGAAAGCTTTAACCAAATTCGTCAAGTCGGTCAACTGGAGGGACGTTGGGGAGTCGCGGCAAGCCATCGAAATTCTTCCCAAGTGGACCGAGATTGATGTTGATGATGCTCTGGAAATTCTCGGTCCCACTTTTGATCATCCTGACGTTCGATCATATGCTGTTGAAACACTCCGAAAGGCTGATGATGAAGAGCTACTTCTATATCTGCTTCAGCTGGTGCAGGCTTTGAAGTATGAGGAATCTCCCGAGTACAAAGCCGAAGATGCTGATCACGACTTCTCACTTGCCAACTTCCTGATTTCGCGAGCGGCCAATAATTTCAAACTTGGTAACTACTTGTTCTGGTATCTCACAGTGGAGATCGATGATGCCGGCTCAAACATTCTTCCCGCTCAACGTCAGCTGTTCGTACGGGTTGCATACTACTTCATGGCCGAACTAGAGAGGGTCCACCCAGAGCACAAGAAGACACTACTGCGTCAAGCGGAAATGGTGACCGTTCTTTCGAAGGTCGCCAAAGATGTCCGACTTTCGCGGGAGAACAGACCCGTTAAGATCGATATGTTGAAAAAGTTCATTCGTGATCCTGAGAATGACTTGATCACTATCGACCCCCCATTGCCATTACCATTGAATCCTGAGGTTTCAGTTGTTGGATGCTACCCCGAGGAATCTAACGTGTTCAAGTCCACGCTTTCCCCTTTGCTTATGACGTTTAAAACTTCGGATGGCCTTCGTTATCCTATGCTCTTCAAAGTCGGCGATGATCTTCGGCAGGATCAATTGGTCATCCAGATCATTATCTTGATGGACCGTCTTCTGCAAAAAGAAAACCTCGATCTGAAGTTGACCCCTTATCGCATCCTTGCCACCAGTCCGACAGCCGGTGCGGTACAATTCATCCCCTCCATTTCTCTCTCTGCGGCATCCTCTAAGTACAAATCCATTCTTGCCTACTTGAAAATCAACAACCCGGATGAAAACGAGCCCCTGGGTGTTCGCAAGGAGACAATGGATACATATATCAAATCATGTGCCGGATATTGTGTCATAACCTACCTACTTGGGGTTGGCGATCGTCATCTCGAGAACCTACTTCTTGCACCAGATGGTCATTTCTTCCACGCCGACTTTGGTTTCATTCTCGGCCGCGACCCAAAGCCTTTCGCACCTATGATGAAGCTTTGCAAAGAAATGGTTGAGGGCATGGGCGGTACATCTTCGCCGCACTACCTGCAGTTCAAACAATACTGCTACACTGCTTACACCACCCTACGCAAATCTGCCAACCTGATCCTGAACTTGTTCAGTCTGATGGTCGATGCCAACATCCCGGATATTCGAGTTGAGCCCGACAAGGCCGTCTTGAAAGTCAAGGAGCGTTTCCACCTCGAGATGACGGAGGAAGAGGCCATTCGTCACTTCGAACAACTCATCGCTGATAGCGTGAACGCCATCTTCGGCGTTGTCATTGACCGCCTGCATGACTTTGTGCAAGGCTGGCGGGCGTAGACTCACATCTATGATCTTCAATTTTGTCTCCTAATAAATACCTGTGACAGGTTTTCGGAAAGCTCATTCCGCTGATCTTGCCTGGTTTACACTATTACTTTTCAAGCGGACAGCGTCGAGATGCATATGGAGTTATGCGGGCTGGTGAATTTTGCTTTTCATGTAACATGGCGCAACACGGTGCATTTACAAACCAGGATACCCAAGCAATGTTTTATCATTTAGTCGCAATCAGCTAGAAAACAAAAAGCTAGTTTTCTTCACGATGGCCCTAGTCAAGGGTCTAGACTTCCTTACTAGACCCAGGGCTAAACTTCCATATTATAGAGCAGGTGACATACAAAAACTGCAGAGAGGGATATACGAGAGGCGACCATAGTTGATAGCCTGCAAATACCCTAACTGGCCAAGCCTCCCGAGGTTGTCCCGAATAGGAAGACGGTTAGTCACAGATATTACGTTTTGCGGAAGCCGCCGCACTCCGTTGAAGTACACTGCCGATGCGCAATGATTCTGTTATAATGCATAGATCGATTGACGAAATGATGTGCATTGCACGAATTTTATGCTGTTCTCTCCTAGTCTGGATCACGGTAGGTGAGTAAGCCTCGGTGTCTGGTCAGAATGACATCAATATAGAACTATACGAGACGCCAGTCTTAGTGGATACTCTCAGAGTGAAGGGGCCGGGAAATTGAGGGTGGATTACGTGGAAAAAATAGGTTTGTTTATGGGGAAGTATACCTCCTGTCTTCATACTAACGTTACAAGTAACCTTCTTACTCTACCTCGACTAAGGAGCAATTGAACGCCACCTAAAGCGGTAGCAACTAAACCGTATTGAAAGAAAAGAGCAAGCATAAGTCTCAGAATTTCCAAAAATAATACTCATATCCCATGATCAAGAACAATATTCCACCAGCTCTAGCCCAGACCTGAACTACCCCCTAAGCAACGATTAACTTTTTAATTCACGCGGCACTACCCGTGACCTAGCCTCCTCCCTTCCAATCCTGTCTAACGGATTCCTCCGCATAACACACCAAGCATGGACCATAGTCGGAAAATCCTCGCACTGACTGGCTCGGCACCCAGCCATAACATACTCACATGATGAAATCCGCGGGGCTTCCACGTATTTTCCCGGACTCAGCGAGGCCTTAGTGGCGTGTAGGGGGTTTCCCTCGCGTTCTTTGGGTAGTGGAGAAATTATATTCGAAATTTGGTTAGGCTGGTGGGAAAAAGAGGATATTTACCTTCCAACCCCCGGACTATATACTCCTTAGTGGAAGGTTCTTATTTCTATTGTTCCATGCTTCCTGCTCTCGGGGCTACCTACTCATATTACGTTTAATAACTATACACTCCGGCACAAACAATCCCCTCCTGGGTGTCCGAAATCTCATAAATGGAGCATATAATCAATGTCTCAGAGGCCCAACAACCAAAAGCTACGCCAACCCACCACAGCGAACCATGCACACAAGATAAAATGGGGTCACCGGTCGTCTCACAACTGAGTCATGACTATTCCTTGTTACAGTCGAGTACGCCTGAGGCTCGCCGTTCCCATTGTAAACATGATATCCAGGCAGCTCCCGTTGTCGATGTGCGGAAATTCGCCAATCCGGCACCGTTGGGCCTGTGTGCTTTTGCACTTACGTCTTTCCTTTCGAATTGCATTAATCTTAATGTGGGTGGTATACAGGCTTCTGGGATTAGTGTCTCTCTGGCTTTGAATTATGGGGGTATTGCTCAGGTTTTGGCTGGCATGTGGTATGTTCGGTGCATTTCTTGATATTATATTTGATGTTGTTTTCCTTTTTTCTTTCGGGGTTTGGAGTAACAATTTTAGGGAAATGGCTGTTGGGAATACCTTTGGTGCTACGTCTTTCTGCTCCTATGGTGCCTATTGGATCACGTTTGCTCTGATCTCGGACTTTGATCCTGTCGATTCTGCGAAGGATACGAGTGGAACATGTCAGAATGAAACACTAATGGGTTTATTCATGCTGGTAAGTAGATCCTTATGGATAGATTCGAGACAGTTCTGATGATCTTGTGAATAGGCCTGGTTCATCTTCACCACCCTAATGCTCCTCTGCACTCTGAGGTCCAGTCTTGCGATGTTTCTCCTGTTCTTCTTCCTGGACATGAACTACCTTCTACTTGGCATTGCACATATCCAGTGCAGCTCCCACGGCGAGGTTCTTATTGCAGTTCAAAAAGCCGGTGGACTGTTTGGTATCTTTGCTGCGTTTGCCGCCTGGTGGAATGCCTTCGCTGGTATCGCGGATACTAGCAATGGCTTCTTTACTGTACCTCTAGGCCATTTCCCTTGGTCACCTATCGTTCACGCTCACCGAACAAAGACGAAGGAGGTGTGATCATTTTATAATACTGGTATAGAACACAAAAACCAAAGTTCCCTTCCAAGGTAAGACATTTCGCCCGGCTTACTGTTGAAACAAGTCTAATCTATCTTTGTCGTCCTAGCTCTTCATCTGGGAAGGCTTGATCACCAAGCTCGATCCATTCGTGATTCGTGTCGTCGTCATTCACGCGCCATGCCCTCTGGTCTGCAAGGTCCATATGGATGTCATTTCGTTGTTGCGACATCGTAGATGATTCGGCAAGTGGTGATGCATTACGAGTCCCAGAGCGGCTGTGACGAGTACCTTCGCCAGTTAGGTGGTCGCCACCGGAGTCTTCATCTGTTGCGAAGTTCTTATTCAACTTTTCGTCCTCTTCGTCTTCTGGCGTCCCTTCACGACATGCCCAAGCATCCACAAATCGGAGCACTTCACGTGGCCACCAACGTTTCATAACCAGGAGACGGAAAGGCACAAGGGCGATAATCAACATTGGGAATGCGGGTGCTCCTCTTGTCAGTGTGAGGATGAATATCACGACTGTGATGCAGATTTGCAAGATCGTATAGAGGTGTATTGGGAGATAAGATGGGTTGCGAGATGGTGTCTCTTGGCTATTCGCTGAGCTTGGCTCCATTACTTTGTGCAGGGACTGCGGGAGTGGTGGTAGCTCAGATGGTGGAGTAAGAAGATAGAATGTGCGATATAGAATTGGGCTAGATAAAGGTTAGCGCTCAATGCCATTTGGTGTCTTTATTGAAGTTCTTCATACTTCACCGATAAGCTCTGCTCCCCCATAAAAAGAAACAGCCCAGCCAGCACACTGGTCGGTGTTAAGCCAAGGAGTTTCATGAACGGCGGGCTCACAAACAGCAAAATAGCTCCTGAATGGAGTAGTGCCGACCAGCGCTGTTCATAAACTCGTCGGACTTGCCTTGTTTCTATCTTCTCTTCCCCCTCAACGATGACGCTTTCTGTCTCTGTTTCTTCGTGCATAAGGGACTCAGAATGCAACGGGGCTTGTGGGAGAAGACCATTGGAAGGCGGTATTCCCAACATACCACAAAGAGCTGTAGTTGTGCCAAGTAAAATGACATCCCAAGCAAATCCGCCTGGCTTGCGCGTGCCATATCGATCAATGGTGCAGATTATTGAGCTGACTTCATGGTCAAAGAAGAATAATACCGTAATGATGAGACCGGGGATCATTGAAGCAAAGATCCATGAGACTGGTAGTTTCCAAAACTCGACAAAGAAGATATCCCGCTCCAGGGATGTTGGCCGAAACGATGTGCTGACGGGTAAAGTCATTTTATCGAGATGGGCTAACTCGCCCACATAGGGTAAGCCGATGAAAACAATGATGGAGATTGCAGCGGCGTATTCAGTCAGACATAGTCTGATATACCGGTGGAATAGTGGCTTCCAACTCTCTGCCGTGGATAAGAAGATGGCAAGGAGCATTGTTCCAAGTGCGCCAATGACGGCATAAAGAAACGCCGCGAAAGATAGACTGTCGTGTGCCCTTTCGAGCTCTTGGATTGCCTTGTGGAAGTAGATAATGCTGTTTAGGAGGGAGAAAATCTCCGTTGCGAACGTCGTCACATAGCGCATTGTCCAGTCATGGGCATTGATGATCGCCAGGACATAGTGCATCCAACCGGAATGTATCAAGGACCATGCCATGAATGGAAGAAAAGGGATCTGGTGGTCATGATAAGAAAAGATAATCTCGCAAAAGCAAGAGCATGATCATATATCACGTACTTTGAAAACCTCTTCACATAATGAGTAGATATTCTCAGCCAAGACCGAGAAAGGGCCGGTAACGCCAAGGATTGTGAGGGGCTGGATTGAGAATCTGCATATGGTTGTGAGTCACTCGCTGTATGGCTTGAAGTCTGTCAAAGTAACATACAGGGAGAAGATAGTTCCACACAACCCAGTGCTCAAGACAACCTCAATAGTTCCCCAACTCTTACCAGTCAGGACGTATAGATCACTCGCAAATGTGATTCCCGGCAGAAGATTTGTAAAAAAAACATAGACTGCGCTAGCAAATACTAATTGATTGAACACTGTCCAGTCAGACACATACCGCCGGCGGAGGTTGGCGATGTCTTGTTTTACTAGACGGAATGGACGAAGCGGACCACCAGCGGCCACTGAGCCTCGTAACACCCGTAAAGGTTTCGGCGTATGCTTTGAGGGCGTGATAATGGAGTGGGCATCTGGATCTTGGAGATGGCCTTCTGAATCAAATTCCGAGGGCTCCTGTCTGCTTGGCCGCCTACGTCGTCGGGCACGGGTTGTGTCTCGAATAGAGGAGACTCTTGTGGAGGGCGGTCGGAAGGCTGACATTAGTGACATAGTGGGCCATTAATCCGATGTTATTGCAATCTCTAAGAAGAAATAAAAAATGAAGGAGGGTTTTGTGAAATGGAGGAAGAGGACTGACGACCAAGAGTGTCCCAGTTATTGATGTTGGCCTCACAAACAAGGCTTCAAATCCACTAAACCTCATTAAGACAACGATTACTTTGATATCTTTTGCAACCTCCTTAAAATCAATAAGTAGCTATAGACTCCTAAAGTGCAGATTGAAATAGGAAGCTCTTTTAGGGCCATCGTACGACAGTGTAAAATCTATACCAGAAGAGTTTTCCCACGGCATATTCTCTTATTCCCCAGGGGGCAGTATGTTACGCGTCTATAAATAAGACGTGCTGGACTCGCTGACTTCGGACCTTCCACTTTAGCCAAGGCTTTATATTTTCAATTCTTCGATCGGGCATATGATACTGATGATGAGATAAACCAACTATGGAAGTCATCTAACAATGTTGAAAAACTGACCAGTTTGCCACACTTATTGAATCTGCATTATCCTCCGTTCCCAAGCTCAGTCTACCCTTAGTCTTAGTGTGGAAGGTAGATTACTTGATAACATCTGCTTTGCTTGATCGGATCACCAGTGTGGCTTTAGACGAGACTTTGTGTTTGGGGGTCTTTTTAGGCCTGGGCGACCTTGGACTGGCGCAGCCTGAGCCCAAGACGCGAATGGAAAGGCTCTGGAGTATGATACCACGCGTACCCTTATCCCTCGTGTATGAAGCTGGTGAGCGCCTTGAGATCGATGGACTCCGATGGACGCCTCGTACATTCTTACGGCAAGTCTCGAACAAGAAATTCACCGAGAGTCCGTCCAATGGTCCTCCCATTGCAGATATGGAGAATTTGTCTATTGGCACTGTCACGAAGCGAGGTATGGCTATGCATATGGCTGGAATTATTATTTATTCTGGTTCGGCACTGCTTGGAACATGTTCATCCGTCCGAGCAATAGACGAGGATGACCGATATCAAGTGTTTTTTGAGCCGCGCCGCCATCAATGGTCCGGGTCTCATTCCCTATGATTTCGGCGAAACCGGTCAGCCTAAATACTTTGATATCTGTGCAGGCCAAGGGACTGAATTCAAGGAGATTGCGTTGATTTCAGAACTATTCGGCCGCACAGACATGTCTTTGGAAGGTCAGCTCAGGCGATCTTCTAATGGCTTTGTGGGCTTGGTACAAGAAGACATTGAAGGGGTCATTTACTGCAAATACATCGGCACTTTCAACGGGGAATTAATCGATGGTGGGAACAGCGCGAGGCTTAGGTCTTTGTTTCCTCCATCAAACAGCCAATATGGTGAGTAGTATGGGCGACAGAGGGATGATTGCACTTTGGAGGCAGCGGTTAGTCTACTGAAGCCAAGTCAGCAACAGTGGTGCTTATGTTAACATTGTTACCATAAATATCAAGAGATTATAAGACGCTTTATCATTTTTTAAGGTATAACAGGATTACCAGAGACTGACGGTCATGATGATACCTAACTCGAACTTCGTACGCGGTGGAAACACCACAAATCCGCGATTTACCTATCTAAATACCCCGTCGATCGCCGTATTCGCGCCGTAAACCCTAGATACTCCATGTTCATATCAGTTATGTGTTGGGATTCTCTCGAAATTCTTTTTATCTAGATTGTCATTTTGTCTTGCGGGCAACTCCTGTACGTAGCTGATATCGACTATCCTCACCGCCAATCCTTCCGCCCTGGACATTTTGACGGTTTTTTCTATTCGAACTTTAACCGGCTATCTCAACTGTCCAAATAATCAGTGCCTTGAGACCGATCGTCATCCGGTCTGACTAAAATGAATCGCATGTTACCGGACTGAACCACTATCCACCCTCAACGCGCCACAATGGCCCAGTTCGTGCCGCGCAGTGTCTTTCCCCATTATGGGGCTATCCCCAGGTCCTATTTCTTAGGACATCATCGAGCTGGTCTGACCAAGATGAAGAACATGCTGGCAAGCATTGACTATATTGTCGAATGTCGTGATTACCGGGCCCCGGTCACCTCAATAAACCCAATGTTCGAGGAAGCTTTGGGCAAGATGAGGCGACTAATTGTTTATACTAAGAGAGATCTGGGCGGGATTCCCAAATCATCTGCTCAGAAACAAGTCAGTCGTGCTTGATGGATCCTCACATTATCAAATTGGTTGATCGCTGACACACGTCTTCAGACAGAGCGAAAGCTGCAAAGTTTCGATCCAAAGAGCGCCGTCTTCTTCACAAGCTCGTCCTCCCGCCAGGATGTCAGCCAGATCATCAATCACCTCCGAAACGATGCCGAAGCTCCCGATAAGCTTGTCAGCTGTCGAGTATTGGTTGTCGGAATGCCCAATGTCGGCAAATCCACTCTGATCAACAACCTACGCAACGCAGGCGTCGGCAAAGCTAAGGCACTGAAAACCGGACAGCAGCCTGGTATCACACGCAAGATAGCAACCCAGGTCAAAATCATTGAACGCGAGAGCGGGTCTCATGTCTACGTCCTTGACACACCGGGAGTCTTCATGCCGTATGTCCCCGAGGCAGAAAGTATGCTGAAGTTGGCACTCTGTGGCTGTGTCAAGGATAACGTCATATCGCCAGTCACACTTGTGGACTATCTATTGTATCATATCAACTTGCATGACCCGCAGGTTTATAAACGTTGGTCAGAGCCGACCAACGAAGTCGTTCCTTTACTTGAAAGCTTTGCGCGCCAGACTGGTCTGCTTAGCAAGGGAGGCGTGCCAAATATGGACGGAGCAGCCATTCATTTCATTCAAAAATGGAGGCAAGGAGAGCTAGGTCGATTCTTGGTGGATAACCTAGAGGCGGAGGAACGACGACGGGAAGATCCTGAGCAGGTGTCACGCCTGAGCATGACACAGGCCTTGAAGGTCGAACGGGTGACTCGAAAGAATAGACCCGATGTAACTAGCAGTCTGTAACATACTGAACATATAATAAATCCCTCTTGGGGGTAAGAACGAATTGTTGGAAAATGTAATGGAGTATCATTACGAACAGAAAACAATGCTTGTGTTGTAAATATTTTGCAGAAGCACCCGTAACGCCCAACCCAAGGTAAAACAGACAAATGAAATGAGAGAAGCTCGGACACCCAGAGTGTCGAGATCAAGAGATCTTATCTAGGAGACGGCGCCGTCGTCTATCCACGAGCTCTTCTTGCACCTCTTCTAGCGTTGGAAGCCTCCATTCCACCCCGTCACCGGCATCACCTGGTAGAGATTGCCAGCCATCTTCAGCATCATCCTCTCCTTGACCACGCAAGTGCTCAACAGCCTCTTTCTCCCGCTGCTTTTCATATGCCAGTAGCGTCCCATCTTCCTCGTCGAGACCATAACCAAAGTAATTGGCATCAACCTTCCTCGTCGCAATATCTCCGCCTCTGCCAGTAGACTCTTCTTCCTCGGCAGGACCCTTCGCGCGACGGACCGCAGCCTCAATCATTTCCTTGACACCGGGTAGCTCCCGAGCACGACCGTAATATTTGTACCCTTTTCCTCCGCCCGGGATCTCGCGCCCTTCATCGTCATAAACCCGATTGGATCCGCGCATGTAGTTCGGTCCGCCCAGATTACGGATCTGCATTTCCCAGGCCCATTTCTCTCGCATGAGCTTGTTGATTTCATCGTTGAGGTCACGGATCTGGTAGTCGCTTAGGCTTTGCTCGTGGATGCGCGATACTTTGCGGGAAATCTCTTTGACGACCTGACCGCGCCAACGCTCGCATGTTGGGACTGAATCGATGGTTGTGATGGCCTTAGGGCGTCGTGTGCGTGAAATGTCAATGATTCCAAGGTCTGCTGCTTGCTGCGCTCGGAAGCGGAACAGCATAGACTGCGCCTTCTCGCTGTTTCGTGCCTATTACATAGCGGGGGGTTGGGTTAGCAAAATGTGACCCGGGTTGCGAATCGACTTTTCCTGGTGCAATTAGGTTACTAGGGGAGTTCTCACCATGGTGAAGTATTGGCCAAGTCAGCGACCCGAAAGAAGTCGGGTATCGGGGGGCGTTGGCAGGGAAGAATCCGAAGAGGAAATCATGAGCTGGAAGCTTGAGGTGAAGTCACGCGCTAATTGCCGCTTGCCGCGCGGCTATCACGTGCCCTCCTCCTCACCTCGACTATGCAGCCATTTCATTTGCTATATTAACCTATGGCAATATAAGCATTCAATCCCTTTTATGTGTCTCCTTATATCGTCCAATCTATAAACAATTAAGCTAAGATTCGATATTAGCAGGTTTTGGAAATACTGACATGGAAGTCCTTGGGTATATAAAACAAACATTACATCTCACAAGACCTAGGGCCATATTTTGTTGGTGTCCTTCTCAACCAGTATGGTAGCCAAAATGCACAGAGGCTGATTAGAAAGACATTTTGAAAGGCTTCAGAAAGACAGGGGGCGGGGAGTTGACCAGATAGAGTTGTTGACTTCGGGTAGGTGGTTTAGTAGAGATGGTCGGATGCTACATACACGGATCCTACGAAGTCCGAAGAAAGATTGGTCAAAGACTGAATATACGTTGGTGACTCATTACATCCTCATCGTCATAGATAGCCTAGTCAAGTCATAGAGCGTATTTACTCTTAAGCACGCATAGGAAAAACATGCAACAAAACAACCCTCCAATACAGAAACACCCAGAGCAGAAATCATTCAAGGGATAAGCATGGCCTTTCAAACAATATGAACAAGGCCGAGGCCAGCTTAGAAGACCGAGACATCCCTTCCCCAAATGCACGCAATACGCCGTTAACGGTAACACAAAAACGTCCCATCCATAATCATGGGTGCAACTCCAGACAAGATAAGCCTGTCAAACGTCAATTAACCCCTATTCACAAGAACCCCTTGGTGTTGCTGGGTTGCCGTTGGGGGATGTCATTAGATCCATAGACACCACTACCGCGACGGCTGCCGGCTTCGCTGAAAGTCATATTGCGGCCAATGGTGCTGCCTCGCTCAGCGCGTATGGCCTTCCAGCCATCCAGCTCGCGCTCTAACCGTAGAGCCTTCTCACGCTCCTCGCGGAGCTCCCGCTCAGCGCGACGAGCCAGTAGCTGTGCGTCTGAGTCGTTGTGCTGGAGTTCCTCGATGTTGCGGAGGAGTCGTTCGATCTTGTCCCGAGCTCTGTTGACGTCGTCGTTGAGCTGGGCATTCATCTTGTCGCGCCGGTCGATCTGAGACTGAAGGTCCTTGACCGTGCGATCGACATTGCGAAGAGAGCGCTGCTCAGAACTGTGCTTGCTCTCCTGGTCTTCGAGGTGGGTTTCCAGCTACACGGGCATGTTAGTATAAAACCAGAAACGAGTCTAGGTATATTATCTTACCTCCTTGATTCGCTTGTGCAAGAAGCGAACATCCTGGCTACCAGAGGAGTAGCTCTTGGTTTCCAGATCAACACAACGGAGTTGCGCCTCCTTCAGCGACTTCTCGAGAGCCGCCTTCTCCTTAAAGAGTTGGGCATTGGCCTCCCGCTCAGCAGTAACTTCCTTCTGCATTTCAGTGGCCAAAGCATCGGCGCGGCGCATCTTGCCAACAGCAGCGGCAGAGACGTCTTCCTGCTGCGCAATTCTGGATTTGAGCTCAAGCAGTTCGCGGTCCATGCTTGCAGCGTTGCGCATGGATGGGCTTTCGCCCCTGGCGAGATCTTCGAGTCGCTCGCCAGCTTCAGCCAGACGACCCTCGAGCATCTTCTTATCCTTCAAGAGCAAGTCACGCTCGGCAGTAATATCCTCAACCGAAGTCCGAAGAGTGCGGACTTGAGACAGGAGCGAAACAACCTTGCTCTGGGCTTCGTTGTGGGCATTTACAGCCTCGTCACGAGAGTTGGTAACATCCTGCAAAACAACATCCATGCGGGATTTCTCCTTGGCCCATGTCGAGCTGTTGAGAACCTCATTATCCCATTTGCTGCGGAGGTCTTCCAGCTCCTCGCGGAGACGAGCAGTCTCTCCACGGCCATTGAGAACACGCTCACGCTCCATCTCGAGTTCGTTGTTGAGGGTAGAGAACTCTCTCTGGTACTTTTGTCTGGTCTGTTCCATTGATGTCTCCTTATCCTCGAGATCGATGGCTCGCTGGTTTCTGTAATCCTCAAGCTCATTCTGGAGACGCTGCTTAGCCTGCAAGGCGCCTTGAAGCTCGGCAGCTTGGTCTTCCATCCGGGCCTCAAGGGACTGCGCCTGCCGCTGCAAGTCTTCAACGAGAGCATCCATTTCCTTGCGCTCAGACATGATCTGGGCACAGGTCTCTTCAGCCTCCTGGCTTTGTGACTTGGCAAATTGCTCGGCACGCGAAGCCTTCATGACAGCAATCTCGGCCTGCTCAAGCTTGTTGAAGTACTCATCCGAGCGGCTCTTGTACAACATGAGGCTTGACTCGAGATCAGCTGAGCGGGATGACTCGGCATCCAGACGAATCTGTAGATCCGAGAACTCCTGAAGAAGCTGGTTGCGGCTGACAGCATCTTGGTCTCTGCCAACTTGCAATTCTTGGGCCTCAGACCGGGCATCACGAAGTTCAACCTCCAGTGTTGCCCGAGCACGCTTCAGCTTTTCGAAGTGGGCCTTGGCATCACCAAACTCAGCCATAGTGTCATTGTGGACTTTCAAGAGGGAGCGGCGAGATTGCTCCTGTGAGTTGATGAGATCGTAGAGTTCTTCGTGCGATTTGGCCTGGACATCACGAAGTGACAACTCCCCAGAGCGAATACTGCGCTCCAAAGACGAGACCTTCTTGGAAGAGTCATCGAGCTGGTCATGGAGACGACCGTTCTCACGCTCGAGGAGCTGCATACGACGGACCGAAGGGCTCTCATCCTGCCAGATATCACGACCGGGCGTGGATCGTTCAATCTGGCTCTGGAGATGCTTGTTCTGCATCTCAGTCATCTGGAGCTTATTCTGAAGCTCTTCCAGTTCAGCGGCTGTATCCATGCGCCTCTGGTAGCCCTGTGTATCAACCGTCCGATCGGAGCGTGCAGAATCGTTTGCCGCTTCGTGGACGTTGTAACGCCGGTTGGGCGTGGTGGGATTGGAAAATCTTTTGAGGGCGTTTTCAGAATTCTTCCTGAAGTGAGCAGGGGTTCGGGTGTTGGCTACTTCATTCTGGTCGATCTCCTCCAGCAAGGCACGCTTGGAAGATGAGTATTTGGTGTCGAGGTCCCTCATCTCATCCGCGTGGCGTCGACGCATTTCAGCGAGCTGGCTTTCGGCTCTCATGTACTTCTCTTCGGTGACGCCAAGCTTGTTCTGAACAGTCTCAAGGACTTTGGCCAAGTCAACCTGCTTCGACAGGTGTGGCTGGACTGCCTCCCAGGATTGCGTGGGCTCACTAGCTTCGGGCTCGAAAACCTTGTGCAAGAGGATCAATTGGCGGTGCAAGTCCTCAATCTCCCTGTTCGCCCGATCCAGAGTGCCCTGAGTTTGACGAGTGTTAGCTTGGGCTTGAGTGCGAAGTTGGCGTTCCGTCTCAAGTTTGCGATTGGCCTCGGCGAGTTGGAGGTTGGCAGTAGAGGCGGCCTTTTCAGCATTGCGGCTGGTCTTGTGCTCGCGGTTGACCTCATGGTTAAGATCCTCCAGGCTCAACGACAACTTCTCCTTCTGCTTTTCCATAGATGTGATCATGACCTGAGACTCTTCCAGCTGGCGACTCAATTTCTTGGTTTCTTCTTCCAACCTGGCCTTCTCCTTTTGCAGATTTGTCAACCGGAGTCTGTTGCTATCGCTGGCCTTCGAGTTTGACCGGGCGATGTCGAGGTTCTTTTGCTGGATCTTAGTCAAAAGAGATCTGTTATCATTCTCAGACGCGGTCAGTCTGCCCCGAAGGGTCACGAGCTCTCGCTCTAGACGCTCCTTGTGTTGGTCATGACGGAGGCGGAAGTTGTCGGATTCTGATATTGTTTGCATGAGCTCTTGAATTTGGACCGAGAGCTGAGACCGCTCTGACTCTACTTCCTCAAGCTGGCGTGCCTTTTCCTCGAGGTCCTTGCGCGAGCTCGTCATACGCTCTTCGGCCTGTTTCATGATCTTGCGCTCAATCTCGGCCTCGGCATTCATGCGGGCAGTTTCAGCGTCGGTGAATCTCTCACGAAGCTTGATCAATTCCCCTTGCAATTCTTTCCGTGTCGTCTCCGCAGCGATCCTTGCTTCAGTGGCTCGACGTAGACTGTCTTGCTGAATGTACATCTCCTTTTCAATGGTGATTTTGGATTCGTTGAGCTCGTCGTACTTGTGGGTCAACTGTTTAAGGTTGTGCTCAGAGAGCATCTGGACGTCGTCTCGTGATTGGCGTTCGCGACTGAGATCGGCTTGAGCCCGGAAGAGCTGACCCTTGAGATCGTGTACCTGTTCCTCCAGCAGCTTCCTGCTCTGTCCAGCCTCGGCATCTTCTGATCGCTTGTCATCGAGCAAGCGTTTTAGATCGGCGGCCTCGCGCTGAAGCTGGGTCTTTTCGGAGCGCATGGCATCTCTTTCGGCTTGCACCTCCCGAAGACGACCTTGCATGTTGTCGTGACGCGTTGACAGAGAAGCCTTCTCGGATTCGATGCTCTTCTTTTCCTCTTCGTGCTTCTTCACATCGTTTCGAAGAACGGCCACCTCGCTCTCCTTGCGGCGGAGAAGATCTTCATATCCGGTAGAAGTTGTTGATAGTTCGGCAATCTGTTCACGAATAGATCGATTTTCCTCTGACATATCACGAACTTGCTTTTGGGACTTTTCGAGTTCTTTGGAGGTAGTTGCGAACTTGACCTCGAGGTCTTGATCGGTCTTCAATAATTTGGCTTCCAGGTCTTGCAGTTTGCGGTCTTTCAAGCTCAGATGACTTTGAAGCATCTTGATCTCCTGGTCTAATCCTTGGATCTGATCATTCTTTCCTGAAAACTGGGTTTCGGTTTCGGAAAGTTTGCCATCTAATTCCTCCAGTCGAGATTGCAAGTTGTTCTTCTCAGACTCGAGTGTTTGGATGATCAGTCCTGCCTGCTCCAACTGTGTGATTCGAAGTTGCAGCTCCTCGTCGGTCTTCTTCTTTGCATCAACGATTTCGTCTAGTTGCTCTTCGAGACTTTCCTGGTCGGCGATCGCACCAGCAAGTTTTTCGGCAAGTTCTCCTTCGCGATCTTGCAGACGCTTGAATATCTCCTCCTTATCCAGTGCGAGTGCACGCTCACTTTCCAAGGTTTGCTGGATTTTCTGGATTTCAAGCTCGGTCCGACGTCTTTCTTCATCCAGCTTCTGGCGGCCAGCGAGATCTTGTTTCATCTTGGCTTCGAGTTCCTGGATCTTGTCGTCTCGCTTTTTGACTTCCTTTGCATTCCTCGTATCACCTAATAGGGGCTTCATTCTTGAGAACATGCGCCACCAAGGGCTTCCCTTCAATTCAAGGTAGGCATGGAAGTTTTGCTGGATGATGCGAGTGGCCTCGGCACGATACAATCGTTTGTTCGAAATGCGTCGCTGCACGAATCCCCGAGCGACGGACTGGAACCGCGTCATGATGGTGCGGATGAGTTGGTCACGTTTCTCTTCCAAGTCAGCGAGGACACCAGCCCGGAAGAACACCTTCGTCCGACCAATACGATACCAAGCCCGATCCATGCCAAGCTTCTCCAGCATCATGCGGGCGGCACTCTGTCCCTCCAGATATCCTTTCGGTATATCTTGACAAAGGACTTCGTACCGTTGTCGGAATTCCGCAAAGTGCAAACGATTGGGGAATCCAGTACGGGCAATTCGAATGCCTTCCAGAACACCGTTGCATCGTAACTGGTCCAACACCAGCGGAGCATGCAACATCTTTGGTCGCTTCTTGTGATTCGGAAGAATACAACGGACGAAATGTGGGTGAGTGGAGTGGAGCTTAGCCATCAAGTTAGACAGCTGTTCCTTGTGTCTTTGAGCAGCTGTCCGGAATAGACCCTTCTTCACGCGGCTTCGAGGGTGGTTGCTACCATCTTCCTCCGAGTCTGCACAGTCGGAGAAGAGATTCGCGACGTGTGGCTCATTGGAGGTGGCTAAGAGGCGAGTGATGTTGTCATTGAGGGGATCCTTGTTCTTCTCAAGCCAGTCGTTCGTCGAGTACTCAACTTCAGCAGCATAATGAGTCAAAATGAATCCTTGGTTGAGACGAGATGCACGGTACTTGGGCGTCTTTCGATCCCACAGACCATGGAGCTTCTCGGTGAACGATTTATCTGTGGCTTTGGGCATGACACAGTCTTCATCGAGACAAGAGAAGATACCAATGGGATTGGACAGCTCGATCAAATCAATTGTCGGCTGCAGGTCTTTTCCGAAGTCGATGAACTGCCACTCGATTTGCTCTCTGGCGTACTCCTCTTGTTCCAGGACGAACATGTGGTGGTTGAAGAATTGCTGCAGCTTCTCGTTCGTATAGTTGATGCAAAGCTGCTCGAAGCCGTTATTGTCGAAGATTTCAAAACCAGCAATATCAAGGACTCCAATGAAGTAGTTGTCTTCACCGGCCATCGAGCGACCAAGCTGGTTGTTGATTCGAGCGACGAGGTCTCCAAACCCGCGCTCGTAGATACCCTTGGCCAAGGCATCTAGGGCCATACGGACCTGTTCAGGCGTCTGGACCTTTTCAACCCATTCACGGCCTGCCTTGACCCGTGGGTGAAGTAGGCCTTTGACAAAGGGTTCTGCCTCAATGCCGAGAAGCTGGCAGGCCTTTTCCACGCTTGAATAGCCCTCGGGCGCCAAGGCCGCTTGGTCTGCACGTACACTCGCTTTGGCAACACTGACATTGCCCAAATGCAACACAGCAGCGATTGTTTGCAAGATACAAAGCTGATCCTCTTCGGAGAAGTTCATCACGTGGAAAGCCTCGACCAATGAGTTCCATTCCTCTTGGTCAGATACACCTACGATCGAGTCATTCCCTTCTCTTGTGTAGGCAAAATCTTCAATCTGGAGGTCCGAGAGCAGGAGCTTCTCGCGGGTTTTGCGATCTGCACCTTGTAGAAGCTGATAAAAAACGTGGTAGTTTCGTTCGTTGGAATTCGGCTTCACCACTCTCGATTTCTCAAGCAGGTACCAATTAATCCATGCTCCAGCAATCTGACCCGATCGAGAGAACTCAATGCGAATGAACTTTCCGAATCGAGACGAGTTGTTGTTCCTGACGGTTTGAGCGTTTCCAAAGGCTTCGAGAATGGGATTGGCTCGTAGGATTTGTTGCGCAAGACCAGTGATTTGTTTCGCTCCGGATCGAGCATAAGGTGTGTCGGAGGTGGCAACAGCTGCGAGGTATTGGATGACCTTCTTCGTGTTCTCTGTCTTACCAGCACCAGATTCTCCAGTTACCAAGATACTTTGATTTTCGCCCTCCTCAACGAGATTTCGGAAAGCCTCATCCGCCATGGCGAAGATGTGGGGTCTGGTCTCCTCTCTCCCACGGCCCTTGTACATCTTCACGTATTCATTGGTGTAGATAGGCAGTGGACAATACGGGTTAATTGTTACGAGAAAAAGCCCAGAGTAGGTCTGCAAGCCCAGTATGTCAGCTGAAAGTTCTCGTATACATGGGTTTTGGAAGGGAAACAAACATAGATCAAATCTGACTGATACCTGGTGTGAAGGTTATGGACCACCGAGGCCTCGTTCAGATGGGTGAGTTCCGCCATATCATCTGCCTTGTCAAACTTGGCTGGGTTAACTTTGTCAACCTGGTCCGCGTCCACCTCACGTTGCTATACGATGTCAGTAGGTGTCCTCATACGTGTCTCATGGGCCTCCATACTTCGCCATCGTCGCTCTGCACCAACATGCGGCCTCCATCCAATTCCTCTAGTACCAGGCCCCGGACGAAAGCCTTCTCATTGTCTCGTAGCCACACATATTTGTTTCCCGAGAAATCATTGTCTCCTTCGATCCCACGGATTTGATCTGCCCCACGACGTAACTCCTCGGACTTGATAAAGCTTGGGGCAAATGTTCCGGAGGACGGACTGTTCTTCGCCGAATTTGATCTTTCGCGGTTTCCAGCTGAAGACAAGGTTGGCGACAGCTGTGAGACGGATGAATTCCGCAGGTGACCTCTTGTTGATTCCAATCCGTTAGAAGATGTGATAATGGCAGATTTAGGCCTCGTTAATTGTGATTGGGATGTCTGTGACGCTGATGGACGCGCAAAGAGGCTGGCGCGTTTCGGCGAGCCGTTCAACTGAGAGGGAAGCATGGTGGTCGTAGTTTCAATAGCACATTATTCAAGCAGCGTAGTGTTTCTCATAATCAAGCTTATTCACAGTTGTCAAAATTGGGTCAAGAAAGAGAAGCAAAAACCGAAGGCAATGTCAAATACAAGTTGGAAGAAGAGTGAAGTGACGCACCCCGATATCGATGATGTTTGTTTACTCTGCGTTCCTCGGGCGCCCGCCGATCTGACATGGCCCGTGCACGTCATTGTCACGTGAGAGACTCGATCTTTTTTGGTTTGAGGCGCTGAGGGCACCGAAGGCGCGTTCACAACCAGTTCATCTATCCCTATCTCCTTTTGCGATCAAACTCTAGTCTCACATCTTTTGCGTCTCACTTGGTTGTCATTTAAGTGCCCTCCTAATCCCCTACTGCTTAGTTCTTCAGTTCCGACTATCCTTTCGCGAGACCTACGAACTCCGCTACTCCCACAATATTCGCAACCTCAGTCGTCATGACACTCAGTATCTGAAATTGACACATCTCTTCCACACCACTCATCGCTCCTGCGATCCGAAGAGAATTCATTTATTTGCTCCATACTTGGTCACATCATGCCTGACCAACAACCTCCACCTTATGGTGGTCATCCGAACTATGGTCAGCAGTGGCCGGCATATGCCTCGATAATCACCTCAGACGTTTACAACCGCGCTGACTACGGTACACCGAATGGACCTCCTCCGAACGCTGCTCCGAAATCCGACAACCATATGGCAGCTCTCAACGCGAATGCACAGCTCGCAGGACCAGGAGGCTCTACGAACCCGGCCCTCTTCTTCCCACCTCCTCCATTTTCATTTTTCAACCAGTTTGACCCGTCGCAACTTCCACCATTCCCTCAGATGCCTTACCCAGCGATGGGATTTCCCCCGCCTCTGCTTCCAACAGGGTCCTCCAACCCTCCCGCTGCGCATCCCAGTATGTACCCACAGGGCTCGCAACAACCGCCTGCATCGAACAGAAATGTGAACCGGGTCATAGACCAAGCAGACAGCAGCAGGGAGGAAGGTGAAGTCAGTGAGGAGAATGAGGAAACATCACTCCCACCGAAGCCTCTTGCTGCGGGCCAGGGTTCTGAGTTGGAAGAAGAAGAAGCTGCAAGTTCCGGTGCACGCTCTTCCGGGAGAAGTAGTGGATCACGTAAAACTCCTTTAATCCTTATTTACTATATGTTCGCTTTACTGACTTCATGCAGCATACAACCCTCCTCTGTCAATGTCTGTAGACACTGGTGCAGTACATGACGCGATGCAGTCTCAAAAGCGAGATGCGCCTGCCACAATAACTAAAACCCCTCAATCCCAGAAATCAGCTGCGCAGCTTCGGATTCAAGCTCAAGGAGCTTTGCTCAGCTTGGCGCCTCACCACATTCGCTTCAATGAACTGGTTGCAGAGGGTATAAATCCAGTGGTCCTAAGACAGCTTTACGAGGAAGTCGGAATTAAGGTTGTCACGTCAACAGAGCAAGCCCCGGCCCAGGCCGACTCAAGCCCTGCCAAGGTCACAGGCGCCATTGAAGCACCTAAGCAACAGGTCGAGGCAGCGAGGACAGCAAACGAAAAGCGTGTCTTGGCGAAGGCAAACATACTAGTCCCGCAATCTTCTGGCTCATCGGCTGCTGCTCCACTGAGCTCAGAAAAGCCTCTAGAGAGGAAGGAGCTCATTGCTCAAATGCTGGCTGCGAAAGCTGCTAAAGCTGCACCTTCACCAGCCGGTAGTATAAAGTCCGCACCGACCCCGCCGTCCAACGTGACTCCTCCAGCACCAAAGGAACTGCCTGCGAAGGAAAAAAGCAAAGCTCAAACCGAGTTGGCAAGACAACGGATCGAGGAACTTAGACGCAATGCTTTGCGGAAGACTCAACTTGCTGCCCAACTAGACCAGGCCGCGGTCTCGTCGCCACCTCAAGCTCCAGTTATTCAGCATCCGCTTCCCCTTCGACCTCCTGTGCCCGAGCTCTATCAACCTGCTGGTCTCCCGGGACTTGTCATGACTGAATCAGCACAAGAGCCAGACGAAAGTTCCGCTCCCGAACTTCTTCATGATGTATCTGTCGACCCGACCCCGGTACCACGAACCTCGCAGCGCAAGCGGCCTCGTGCATCCGACTTTGATGAAACAATCGCTCCTCCAAAGAAGCCTTTTACCCCGGTATCTGGCTATTTCACCCCCACCGATAGACTCGTTATTGCAATCAGCGATGATGAATCGCTTTATGGCGACGATGAGGATGACAACATGGACATAGACTCGAGTCCTGGAGAGGAGCCAGTGTCATCCGGAAGCGCCACCGCCCATGAGGCTACTCTCCAGCAACAGCCCTCTATCACCAGGGCTTCTACATCAACTCCACAGGTCCCCTCCAGCAGTGAACAAGGAGACATTCGACTCAAAGATATGGAAATCCAAGCCATGCGCCGCAAGATTGCGGAGTTGGAGCTACGACGCAAATCGAAACTTGCTGCTAGTCGCACTCAATCACCTCGCACCTTGGATGACTCTGGAACATCGTCATCTGGCGGACAATCTTTTGCGGCTGACGTGGGGATGGCAGATACTCCGGCCGCACCTACCTCAGTCCCTACTCCCCCCTCCTCCTGTCTGGCTGATCGCTCCGATATCATCGATTCCTTCAGTGATTCATCCATCAGAGTCCTCGCTGCAATGGATAAGGAGCAGCTGAACAGCATGCAGTCCAAAATTCTGCGGATGAAGGACATTGAATCTGGCCATCCTGATTTGGACGCGGGAATTTCTTCGACCGAGTCCTGTCTTTCTGTTTGTCGTCAAGAGGCCGAGGCGCTGATATCGGATATCACCAAAGAAAGAGAAGATCGGTATCAACTCGTGGAGGAGTTGAAAGGTCTCAGCTATGAGATCAACGGGTTGTCATCAGAAGACTTGAATGAGCTTCGTCGACAGGCCGAAATCAAAAAGCAACATCTCCCCGCACCAGAAGGTAAGATCCTGTTGAACTTTGAAGGATTCAGGAATTCAGGATTTTTCGTCAAGTTTCTAACTCGCCATCGCCATAGCTTCTCGATCATCTCCGCCTACCCTCAGCACCGTTATCCCGGATGACTCTGGTCGTGAGCCAGAAGATACCCTTGGCTCCCAGGTGCCTGCGCAAGAAACATCCACATCATACCAGACAGATTCTGCTGGATCAGCCATGGAAGAGTCTGATGACAGTAGCAGTGATGAACCTGATTCGTCTAGCGATGATGAACCTGCTAGCTCCCCTGTCCAAGCCGATCTTCCCGCAACTGTTCCAGAGTTCTCAGAGCCCATGGATATTGACTCTTCGAATGAATCCGAATCCGCAAGCTCGCCATCTGCTGCAGCCCACTCTGATGCAGAGCCTGCCGATCAACACTCCTCGCTGCATGAAGATAGCGAACGGTCTGTTCGTGAAACTTCAGCGGTGTCTGATGCTTATGAGCCACCTGAGCCTGAGACTGATGCTCAGTCCGAAGGCTCTAGCTACAGCCCTCCTCCGTTCAGCCCAGCTCCTCTATCTCCTCCATCTCCTCCAGCTCCCGTAGAAAACACAGCAACCTCAGCGCCTTCGATTGATATCACTCAAGCCGATGAAGCACTAACGAACGATCACCAGGTGCCAGCCCAATTGCCCCAGTCGGACTCGCAAGTTGGCGTTCTTGGCGTATGAACATCATCTTTCTCAGAGGAAAATTTCGGTGATCCATACTAACTACTATCTAGACTCAAGAATCATCCGCCAGCTCGGGGAAGAGATTCACCCCATACAAAAGTCCTCTACGAAACTTCAAGGCTTATCGATATCACCCCAATTATGCTGAAGACGTTTCGAGCGGTCACCGTTCGCTAACATACAGTCATAACATTGATTCGATGCAATACCTGTGCCCATACGAATTGGCCGGGGGTGTCTGCAATGACCGATCCTGCGAGTTTCAGCATTTTCGGGACATGACTCTAAGCGGTGCGTCGACATGAACAACGTGCAACACCTTTTCTCGTCCTGGAGCTCCCCTTTGGCGTATTGCACCCTTTTGGTCTCCTTTCTTTTTGTCTGCCTGCATACTCCCTCCCTTTCCTTCCATTCACCCTCTGCTGCTTTTTTGCCCTGTTCGCATGCTGACCCCAGAACCATTAACCTCAACAGACGACAAAATTCTCGTCCAGATGGGCGCCGTCCGAGAGGGTGAGACTGAAGAAGAAAAAGAAAACTATCTCGCTGGGCTGAAAGAGATTATCAACGACATGCGGCGTGATAAGGTGAAAGACTTCGACATTGTGGCCGCCGAAATAGCCGCATACCGTAGGCGCTTCCTCAAAGACCCGTCGCGTGTCTTGCCCCTGTAACTTTCCAAACCCCTTCATCGGAAGACTCTTCAAGAGTCCTCAAGGTGAGAGCTGTCTTCCATTCGTCTTGTGAACCGCCATCGAAGTCTTCAATGGCATGGGGCATTGCACCACATGGGACTCAGTCCTCCCAATGGCCATGACGCCATCTATCTTTTCTTGCGATATGATATTCCTTGAAACGCCCCTCAAGGCACTCATGACATCCTTCCTCCGCATCATTAGCCGACACGGCTTTTTCTTCATTGCAATTGCATTCCCTCGGCGGGTTGCGTTCTTTGACGCCGACGTCTTTTTTTCTATTCCTTGTTCTAGGCTCTGGGCCTTTGCATTGTCCAAGGGGCTCAGCGAAATGGCGTTGGGGCGTCTGCATCTTCTCAGCTGCTGATAGTTCAGCTCTGGGAGAGCTCTGGTTACCGCTAATCTGCACGGTTGTACGATTATAATTCGGCGGATTTCGCAGAACATATTCATAGCACCAGTCAATATGTATTTTCTATCCAACCATTGGTCTTTCATTTTTAGTATGATTTCAATCGGTATGCCAAGTAGCTTGGGCTTCGTTTAGATTATGCATGTTTGTGAGTCAATCGACTGACCTCATCTGACCACTTGTTCAAGATGAGTCCCTGTGTGTACATCTATGATATGGAAATCCAGTGACTCATTCATGCTGCGACGCTAAAGAATTAAAACAAAAAAAGAAAATATCGAAACGTACTAGCTTCTAACAAATGACTAGCAAATACCCCACAAGTCATCCCAGCCGCACACCCTACATGTAGGTACATATCTTCAGCTTCACTAACTCAACAGCCCCGCCGTGAGAATTGGGGGCAGAAGAGAGCAAAGAACAGCCCAGACCACAAACCCAGAGGAAACCCATGACAGGAATAGATTGCCAAATAACAGCCAAGGAACAATAAGCTGTGGATGATCCGGGCTGAAGGAGTGCTAAGTATAGTGCGGGATTGGGGGCCGAGTTACAGTTCGTGCGACCGTTTCGCGATATCGATGATAATAATAGTATATGGGGTGAATGGCTACATTAACCTTTCCCTTACAAGTAATCATAGAAATAATACCAAAGATAGTAAGTAATATTGAAATTGCTTATGGCTTATTTCTAGATGGGAATGAATGTATACACAATCCCGATCTATAACCTCCGACCTATAGTAGCGCGGGACCGTTTGTGAGTCAGGACAAGGCAGAATAGCGGGACCAAGAGAGCTACAGTGGTTTACCCCTGCTCGCAAGGAAAAGGCGCGCCTTGTTTCTGGAAGGTTTCTTGTCCAACTTGTTTGAATCATCATATTGTAGTAGTATGGGGAAATGTTGAACACGTTCCTGCGCCCGTGTCCGCGCCCGAAAGCGAGGGACACAGGTTCGCTTGGAAAACAGCCGAGGTGCATGGTCATTAGACGGGAAGTGGAGAGGAAAATGACAAGCAAAGACTCAAACTAGTCTCTGCGGAACAAGCGCAGGCGCATAGAGAGAAGCCAAGCCAGACCCTTCGGGGCGCACAGTCCACCCAGCACAGCCTCAACGAGTGGGACAAACTACAACGACAATGACATCGACATCGACTCATAATCTGGAATAATAAGAAGGAAAGTATGATCAAGTAACACCATCGAGGCTGGAGACTGAGGCTGAGACAAACACAAAAAAGGGCGGAGAAAGGGCCAGGGCACGGGGTCTCCGCTATAGTTCAGTGAGAACAAGACCGCTTCTTTACTATGGGCCGTAGGGCTGTTTGCTGCAGATGGCAGGCCCAAGAGGCGGTAACCCAAGGGGAGCCCCGGGCGCAGTCTAGGGCTAGGACACCCTGGCGTGCATGACGCCCTAAGAGCCGGGCTCCTGTTTCGGGGAGCCGCAAGATGCTTTCCAACCAACCATAAAATTGATCAGCTGGGTAAACGGCATTTTTACCCTTGCCCGGGTTTGAGGCTCGGGTTGAACAGGGGTTTGCATATTCCCTGGTGACGATCATCATGGGCACAACTACGACCACATACGACATGGCGCAGTTAGGGACCTAACAGATTAATAGATACTGTAGAGAAATGCAGAAACGGTGAAAATGATAGAAAAATAAGATAGATTCTAAGTATGTCACACTCAACTAGAGTAAATAGCAAAAAAAGAAAAACACCCAAGGCATACAGGGATCCAGCCCCATACGCTAAACCAAATCCAGCCAAGTATACAATCTATCCCCTAACAAGATACACCTGGCATATGCTGACGCTGTAAACATAGATGGGACCATTCCAAAAATAAGCAGAGATATAGAAATAGAAATATAGAAATATCGGAAACACTAGTGCGAGAGTCAGCTTCAAGAAACACAACCAGCTGAGTATGAGGAATAGGCTCACCATTGTAATCATAGTCGTCAATCCTTGCAGAATACCTCGATCTCACTTGACATAAGTGCAGTAGGAGCAGGCGGTATGGTTGCAGTTGATGCACTTAGGCTGATGGTTGTAGATCTTAGGTCCATCATTGCATTGGCAACAGATGTACATGTATGTTTCGCTGTGAACTCGAACACCCGCTAGTGAAGCCGGCGACATGTCTGTGTAGTCTGCGCGGAGTAATGACCGTACCCTTGGTAGCTCTGGTACTTGAGGCAGCATAGCCCTGGTGTCGAGGGCTGTTGTGCGAGGAGAGTTCATAAGTACGGCGGCCGGGTATGGTGATGTTGGGTCACAGCTGTGCGAGTGGGAATGGGAGTGCGAGTGAGAGGACCTGTTCAAGTCCATGTTCATGCTGGAGATCTTTTCCTCGGTGCAGCGAGCGCAGCGGCGTGTTCCACACTGAATGCAGGCGTCGTATAGCGAGGAGTTGTGAGGGCCGAAGTTGCAGCCACAGCAGTACCACAAAGAAGCCATGGTGGTTATAGGCTTGGTGATTTGGTTGTTGATCAGAGGCAGATTGGATTGCTTTGAGCTTTGGGAGCTTTGAGGATGCAAGTGGGCTCTATATAGTAGAGCGGGATGTATGGCTTGGATCGTTGGAGTTATACAAGACTTGGTTTGGATGGGATTGAGTTTGAGGATGAATTAGATTTTAAGCATGGGAACAAAGGAAGCTATATAGGAATCTGACGTGAAGAATAGAATACTTAAAGTATCAGTTAGAAGCGCAAGGCAGTGTCCAGCAATAGTCAACAGCCCCAGGCAGCCTTGTCGCCGTATTAGGAAAGGTGGATTAGGGGAAACAAGGGCGTTAAACCCCGGGCAGTCATTTTGGGGCCATGGGTATTGAGGCTGTTCTAGTTGCACATCATCCGGGGTGATGGGTCTTCCCAAAAGATCGCCCGAGTGGCTTAGGGTGAGAATCTAGGGCTGCTATTTGCCCAAGGTCAGCCTGTGCCTAGATACCGGGTGAGGACGTGAATCATAGATGCCCGGCGTTTTGACTCAACGGGTCCCCGCTGTATCCACTTCAGGGCCAAGCAAAGGCTTGCACACCGTCTCCCATAGGCACTCTCACCCGGGAGAAACTATGAGCTTCGGGGTATTCTGGCTGACTCGGCGCAGCCGAAATAACGGTCTACAATCGTCCGTCTAGAATTCGGGTTCGTTAGATGCCTTGCTCTCGCGAGCTTCAATTGGTGTTGTTGTTCTCCACCGGTCCTGTTTTCCCAGGCAGCGTTTGCGCCAAAAATGAAAAAGAGTCATAGTCGAGTCAGGCGCTCCGCTAAGCCCTCTGTTGCCTAAGGACAACTCTAACCTCTAACATGCCTCCAATACCGTTTCATCGGCTTTTGGAGGTATTCTTGATGACTATTCTAGATTACGAAGCAACACACCGTGAAACGTCCGCGGGTCAAGGCTGATTTCTAATTCTAAAATCTCACATCGCGTGCACTGACCTCATAGTTATACTAGATCGACTATTTGTAGAGCGGGTGATCCGACATTCAGCCATTCAGCTATATCTGACGGTCGCAGCTGGGATCTGAACAAGTGAGAGTGAGTAATCGGTAAACCGGCATCTAAGACGAGGGCCAAGTCTAGATGTATAGAGAGAAAACAAGGGTAACCGGTTGTCCCACGAACCATGGGCCTATTTGAGCCGCCCTGAACTCGGAACAGAGATTACGTCAGATGTTTGCACCGTTTGCGAGTTACGTTCCTGATGTTCGACTCCGGTCTATCTTGCGCTTACATATGTTACTGTATCAGATATTCGATGGCGTCTCAAGCGCAGAAGCGCGTTAATGCCGTGGTTTCCAGGCTCATTCCGCCCCTGTTACTCGGCGTGACCATCTACGCTTCTTACGCTGTCACGAAACCGTTATGCAGTGAGTAACGCGCTCGACAGCTGCCTAGGAGACAAAGGAGAGAGAGCTAACGTTGCGGATTCAAGTTGACTACTTAATACTTCCATTACCATCCTACAACCGAGGCCCGCGAGCCGGCGCTGGCGCTGCGATTCTCGCGATCTATTACGTCCTCCTAATACCGATGGTCGTCACTTATCTATGCCTCTATTACTATGTCTTATGGAACCCTGGGTACCTACCGCTAGGCACACAGCGATTACAGGATGACGAAAATGAGAAGCACTCGAAGCGCTCCCATCCGAAGCGCCGTCGCCGGAGAGGCAGCTCGCGCAAAGCTCCGGACCCTGAGAAGACACAGCAACCCGAGGAAGATGTGGAAAGTGGGGTGCTTGCCAATGCTGGAAATGATCCATATCAGCTAGATCTTTCCGGGCTGGAGAAGTTTTACACAAAAGATGTTTTTGTCTGTCAGGAGGATGGCCGGCCTCCGTGGTGTACTTCATGCTGCATATTTAAACCAGACAGGTCGCACCACTGCCGTGAACTGGGTCGTTGTGTGCGCAAAATGGATCACTTCTGCCCTTGGTACATATGCCTTCTTGCTGTGGGTTTGAATTTCTTGCTAACTTACTCTCTAGGGTTGGAGGCGTGGTATCGGAGACCTCGTTCAAATTTTTCATTCAATTCGTCTTTTACACTTCCCTGTTCTGCGGCTTTACTCTCATTGTGTCTGCATATTTCACAGCAGAGTTACGGCGTCAGGTAAGCATATTTAAGGAATCAACTGGGCCTCCTGTTCTAATACTAACACTATCCAGACCGGAGGAGCAAACCCTCATTGGTGTGTTTGCATCGGACTGTAAGTAGCATCGATATCTACCCCTAGAATTTAACAAAGCTAACGTGACCCAGGGCTGCCCTGTTCGGCTTCTTCGCAGCAGGAATGACCCTCAGCTCCGTCCAAATGGCCCTCTTCAACGTCACAACAATCGAAAACCTAAACCGCCGCTCAGTCGTCTGGACCCTAGCCGTCCGAGTCCCAGAACATCTAACCAACAGACTCTGGACAACAGACTCCCCCTGGGCCCCGACCTTCCGCATGGTCTCCTACCCCCCAGCAACCCCCTCAACACCGGGCAGACCCCAGACCGACGCATCTACCGGCGAAAAGCACGTCTTCGCAATTCTCCACACCCTACCAGGCGAAAACCCCTTCGACCTCGGCAGCCCATTCAAAAACCTCCAACAGGTCATGGGATACAGCGTTGCTGATTGGTTCCTCCCCATCAAGCAGAGCCCCTGCGCCGACCACAGTAGTATGGAGAGCGACTTTGCCCTGGGACCCGTTGTCACCCGATTAAAGCAGGAGGCAGGTCTTGTCCCGCATGAGAACAGAAATGGCGCCACTACACAGTCTGCTACGTAGGTGGGACTGGAGTCCAACTTTTTTTGGTCAGCTTAGCGCTTGGGTTGCATTTGCATAATTTCTTTTTAAAAAGGTGGAACATTGGTCTCCGCTGTATTCTTAGATTCTTAGACCGCGTTATATTTATTGGGCTGCTTCGTGAAGATCATTGGCCCTCTGTGCTGTGCCCAGCCCTGTAGGGCTGAATTTTCCTTGTTGACGCTACGTCTACGTGCATATTGTGCGCGCCCAGCCCGCGGGGCCATTTCCTTATCCTCGAAGTTTAAGGAGTGGAGAAACTATTAATGTATACATATTGCAACATATGTACTAGATAATATCAGGCAGTCGAAGCCTTTCCCTTTCCGTTCAATCCGGGCCCGCCAGTAATCGACAGAAGAAAGGGAACACCATATGGCGTTAACCGACAATATAATACAAATTTTAATACAAATTCAAATACAACGACAGTTCCCCTCAGCCAGAAGTAGTCTGCGTAAACTCCTTATCCACTCTGATCTCAGACAGGGGAATGTGATCCTCATCAGAGCGACGACCACTAACCTTCGGACCCTTCACATTAGTGTACGTTTTCGCGCGATCATAGCTAGGCCTGAATGCAGCATCCATACGAGTCTGTTCAGACACCGAGTCCGAATCATCTGGTAAGTGATAGAAAGAATGACGATTCGAATGCTTTGAGTGTTGGATGATAGCGGCTGTACTCTCCACGGTCTGTGAAGGCTCGGTGGCCCCGTTCGTGGTTTTGGTCCTTGTTCCATTTGTGCTTCTGAAGAGACCCATAACACTGCCGTCGACACCCAGCATGCGTGCTATGAAGCGGAGGGCAGGGCGGAGGGTTGGGAGATTGGCTGAAATGATGCCGGCGGACATTTCGATGGCGGTCCAGCCGACTGTTGGGGCGAGAGTGTAGGACGAATCTAACGCGCTGTAGCTGAAAAGGACGGAGAAACGGTAGGCGGAGGCGAAGACCACGCTGGTGAGGTTAGATTTACGGTGTTCATTTTCTTTTTGGAAATTGTTAGTGACTCACAAGAATCCCAAGCTGAAGGCGATTAAGACGGCTATCTTTTCCGAGATTCGAAGTTGCAGCTTCCACACTTGTGGGATTGGAAGGACTAGAATGGCAACGTCGGTTGCGATCGTCGAGACGGCGTTTGCAACCCATGTGCCAACTTGGTTGATGCATCGCCCTGGGGTCTGTGGATACCATAGCTTCTGGACGGGGACGCAAATGAAGATGAAGAGGAAGGTGATACAGATAACCCAAAGGATGACGAAGGTTCCGATGATGTATGCCCATGTCTTGAAGTAAGGGAAGCGGAAAATCCGGTAGTACATGAGCAGAATGCTCAGTTTGGTCCAAACGAGGTTGAACACATAGAGAACCTCGGCCACGACAAGGAACTTTGCAATCATCACCACGTCCTCCATTGGTAAAGTATCTGCATGGAGTCCCATTCCCTTGTGGATCATGGCGTAGATGAACCCGACAACCATGAAGTTCCATAGCTTGGTAGACTGTCAGTATCCATGCAATTGAGACCGGAGCGAGAAGATCGAACGAACCATAGAGAAAATGATCATATAGTCATCCCACCATAGTTTTTGCCCTCTTTCAAAACGAGCGAGTAGTCGAAGACACACAGTCACGAATGCCAGCACTGTGACCGAGGCCACGGTAGCTATGGACCATGGCTGCAAATTGCCCTGATCACTTTCCATGGCGTGAGGCAAGCATAGAACGGGTACAGCAAATGCTGGGAGACAATAAAATTTAATATAGACTTGAGTGACCGGCGTTAAATTCCGTGGGGGGTGACAGTATGTGGCTCCCGACTTTAAGTACGATGATAGTACGCTAAAAAAAAATCCCCTTGCATGTTGATCATTGGTTAAGAGAGCTATTCTTTTCTCTGTTGGATCGTTTTATTGTGGATCACGGCATGTACTCGGCATCAACTCGTAAAGTTTTTCAGGATCGTACTTTTGACAATTTGACAAGCTTGGCGTCTCAGGTCTGAACTTTATTAGCAGCTGCCAATCCACACCCGAACATCCGAACACCCCCCGACTTGGGCATTTGCTCCTTTTTCCGGCAGTGGTCCAAATTTCAGGAACCAGCGGCCAGTACTCAAATACTCCGTACCTGATAGATTATCCACATTGGCGTGGTGCAGGGCGTGCACGTCGTAAGTTGGGTCTCAAAAGGGGCGTTTAGCAGAAAACTATGAAAAATCCACTCCATAACAACAAGAGCAGGAAAATTCAAAAGAATATGACCCACAACATAAAATCCAGGACCGTTCGTGCCGGGCCGGTGTCATTCCATCTTCTCACATGGTTCTCAGACGTGGTAACGCAGCAAATATGATTTTTGGAACCATGGTTCATTTAACGGTTTTATAGAACGATCAACTATATTTACCGAGTCTACGCAGTAGCGCTGTACTTCTTCACCATCTCCAGAAGGGCCTCATTCACCTCTTTGGGGTTAGTAGCATTCAGATAATGCGCACCCCCCTCAATCATCACAAGTTTAGCATCCACAGAAGAAGTGAAACGTCTAACGTGCTCCGGAGGCACGATCGTCCCAAACGGAACGTCTTCGGTACCCTGATCGATTTGTCAATGCGCAGATCCTCTATATCGGGAAAAATAAGACTCACCTGTAGCCAATGAACAGGACATTTGATATCCCCGACCCGGAGAAGCAGCCCGTCCCTCTCAAGTAGGCAATTGAGCGCCATCCGGACCTTTTTCCTGCCCTCGTCACCCTTGTATACATCCTTCAAGGTTTGAGTCCAGAACGCAGATCTCTCAGCAGTGGCAGCGGCACCAAAACCAATTCCGCCCACCAATCCACACCAGACATCATCCACAACGAAATCGGGCGTAGCAGAGGGGCTAGTCCATTTCTCATAAAACACTGTGAGATTGGCAGCAGGGTCCCAACAGCCCTTGGACCGGGACTCCTCGGATTCATAATCCATGGAGGTTCCGAGAGGCATGAGACCGAGGATCTAGCAGTGTGCGAGGTTAATTTTCATTTGAGCTTAATCGGCAGTACATGAACAAGGGGAACCTACTCGGTCCGGGGCTAGAAGGGCCATTCTAGTCACGATCCACCCACCCTGGCTTGTGCCTAGGGCGAAGGATTTCTGAATCCCAAAGTGGTCCATGACCTGCAAGGCCATGTGGGCGGAATCCCAGTATGTAAAATGTTCAGAGGGAGAACTGGTCGAGCCATGGCCTAAGGGCTCGATGGCCAGGAGGTTCATGGCATCATTCAGAGCTTCGTTCTTGAACTGTTCATGGTAGAGAGACACGGTCATGCACATCGAATTAATGAGTACGCACGTCGGCTTGGAAGGATCGTATTGGTCCTTGGCGAAGGCGTATCCGACCTTGATGCCGCCCAGGTGGGGGACTGTGATAGTTTGAGTGGCAGCCATTCCGTAATAATCAATAGTCTTGTCTTCGTTGAGATGGATGGTTTGTGATTTATCTCGTACTTTCGGGGGAAGATATGCCGCTTCACTTCGGAGGTTAGCCGAGTTCGCCCCTGGATTTTCCTCCACGTATGTACAACCCCACTAACACGGACATGTACGTGCATCTGGAAATGTGTGTGAATCCCGACAGAGTTCCTGTAGTGCACGGAGATGTCTCGGATTTCGCCCTAAATCAGATATTGATCTCCAATTGACAGTTTTGTGGGGTTTCTTTGCTTAGGATTGGCTTCGTTTTCGTAGGATCAACGACGCCCCGAGGCGTGGGTCGCCCTAAGCTCAGTATAGTTAAAGTACAACTGCCAGCCCGTGTCAGTCGGGGCTGTTTGCTGAGACATTATTGGCACATACACCTGCCAGAAAGCATGCGGAACAAAACTAAAACCATCCGACTAGAATAGTGGAGAATAAAGCTAAAAAATGGGTAGACCAAGAATGGGAATGAAGGACAAAGAATTGTGGCCTGATGCATAAAACATAACAAATACATTACTCACTTATTCTGAGAACGTCATGGGGTAACTGTTGATGTTATTGATGACTCGGAAGGAAGGTGGAGCTTGTTTTGATGGTATTGTTGGTCATCTTGATAGATACTACTCATATATTAGGGTTAGACTGTATCTAGTCTCTATACTATCAGTTTGTAGCCCATACGACTATAGTTCCTGCAGGGAGCAAAAGTGTGTGAGAACTCAATTATGAGTCTTTACGATTGGTGATAATACTAAAACTCCAAGCCACCGACTCCGTACATGTATCTCATTTACATCAAGTGCTCGTGTTTTGAAGCCACCTGAGCAGACCCGCAAACCCGCAATCACGAAGCAATTACACGTATTTATTCATAAAATTTCAAAGGGCTTGCTAGCACGAATTACTGCATAATAATAATGACTTTCCAGCGAATTGTGCCTGCTGTCGATATGGTGGTTTTGCACGTGCAGGCATATAGCCTGTGTGCGCGCCATCGAACAAATACAAACAATTTTGGTGTCATCTTATATTATACTGGTCTTAAAAAGAAAAAGCAAACATTTCATTATGATTAAATCAACTGCAAGTGCCGATCATTTCCGGGAATCGCATATGTACTTGTCCACGTGACTTACTGTCAAGGTCTCGATCGCCAAACTTACGCCAAGCCTATCTCTGATTGGAGATTTTTCCTGCTATTTCCACCTCATTGTAAAGGGCAATCAATCTATACGCTATTTTAGCTTCTTTCTCTAGTGAATCACTTCTTCATAGTCCGGGGGACCCGGTACTTGCTTTATATGAAGTCTCCCGTCCAAATTCGAAGTCATAGTAGAGTTGACCGACTGTTCACTCCGATATTCCACCCGCAACGAAGTCGCTGGATCCCCAGCCGTCTCTGCAATAGTGAAGCAAGTTTGATGGAGCAATAGGCAGTGAGCAAAGAGGTTTATCTCCGCTTCCGCTTACAAATTGCACCATAGGCTGACAAAGCTTCCAATGTGGTCTTGTCTTGATGAAGTCTACAGAAGTCAAGTCTTTGCCAACTTCCCATGATTGGCTTATTCAATGCTATACAGTGTTATGCAGTGTTATGCACGCCATCTTATCGATATCGCTAGGAAGCATTCTATTGAGGTTCAACATACTAGCAACATTCAACTTCGAAGATGGTGCTATAGGTAACCGGGATCTACTTGATTGCAGAAGCTGGCGATCAATGCTCATAACGTTATTGCGAAAACTACAGGTACTTGCTCATTCCACTTTAGTAACAACTTGAAACATTTTAAATTCTTGGCCCTCCCATTTCATAAGATCGGCGCCTTAGTCTGCCCTTTCTTACCCGTAGTGGATACCTAATTTTGGAGAGGGTGCAGTATAAATATGATATCATAAACAGGGGTCATAAATGTGTGTACAGTGCCACTGATGAGGTATTGCACAGTCTCTACACGGAAGCATCGAAGCGAGTATACAGTTTCCCCTTTTTGCCCATTTTCGAGTGCCTTAGGTTGTAGTTGTTTGGTGCGTTAATCATGTAGATTATATAAAGGGAGGATGTGAAAGAGGTTATGACCTATGACAGTATGCCCTTCCGCTTCATATGTTTAACCTAGGATAACCTGGAAAGAGCGAAGACAAGGCAAGGCCACCGACTCATTGTGCACGGTATGTAATGCTCAACTCAGATCAGATAATCTGTCCTAGCGAGAAACGTCCATAGACAGCACGGACTTACCTAGTTGTTACACGAAGGCAACACTGGCGCATACGTATTTAGGAACTGTATACCCGATGCAACATCTACTCCTTTGGAGTGAAGGTCATACAGATATCTCACCAGACGGTATGCATACTCGTCTACCATACCCATGATCCTGTATACCCCAGTACCACCACAGTAAGCAAGGTAACAGAAGCCCCCATCAAAGTCTACAATATCTACAGCAATAGAGAACTCTTTCTAAAATGGATGACTCAGTTGACTTCACTATATACATAAAACACTGAGAAGACGAACGCAAGACCATCAACCATGGAGGAAGCGAACACAATGCGGTAGTTAGCTTATGCAAACAAAATGTTCCAATTGAAAAGCAAACAGACAAGGTCGACCACCGGCAAGAAATAGAACGTAGCATGTACAGTCCCAAAGACGCGCAAGAGAACAATCTGCACAACCAATAACAAGATGGATGGTAAAACGCTAGAGGGAAAGTCATGGATAATGAGTAAAGGGCTGACAGCAGAGTAGAAGACATGCAAGGGTAAAAGGAGCGAAGGAGTTGGATATCTAAAGTTTCCGCCATTGTGAAAGTGGTTCAATAGGAGGATAGGAAACAGAAAGCAGACAACGCCAGAGCAAACAGTACAAAGTATACAAAAAGTGAAATGTTTCATGATCATGATCCCATAACGAAGAGCCACGCTGTACGGTAAAGTGAGGTGGGTTGGATATCAAAATTAAGACGCAGTCTTGCCACCGCAATCGGGGATCTTGAGGCCCGGTTTGATTTTGCGGGCGGAGTCCATGAGACCCCATTTGTCTTCCCATTCTTTGCCCTTTTCGTTGAATTGGATTTTCCAGGGTTCATCAAAGGCCTCGAACCTAGTAGATTGTTAGTACTCTGACACATTTGACCAAACAGGGAGAAGACGTACCAGAAGTAATCGGTTCCATTATCCAGTGCCTGGCAAACCCAGTCTGACATGAACGAGTTCATGTTGTCAACACTGGCAACAGAGCCAGGCGTGGTATCGTCGCACTCTGGGCTTTCACCGCAGTCCTTGCCTCCACCGCTGGGCCATCCAACTTCGGAGATAATTTGCTTCTTGCTCGTGCCGCTTGTCAAGGAGACATCATGAGTCTGCCAGAAATTCCAGGTCCAGGCCGCAGCCACGTCGACACTCACGCCCGCGAAGAAGGGGTGCACATTGGACATGACCACGTCGACAACATCCACCAATTGCGAGTTCCAATTATCGCCGAGATCAGATGTGGCAATTGACAGGTTGAGGCTGCGCTTCTTGACCTCGCTGGTGACGTCTTCAATGTACGAGATCAAGGTCTTCTCGGCGGTTTGTTTGTCTGGACCGGCGCGATAGAGTGCTTCGTTTCCGACGATGATACCCTTGTACAAGGATGTGTCCTTGGTGTCATCGAGGATCTTGTAGAGGTGATTCAGTTGACGCTCGGTGCTGGTGGTGTTCGAGTCGATCCACACACCAAGCCAGAGCTTCATATCCTTGAGCTCCAGTCGGTCAATCGCATGCAGAACCATCTCGGTCTGATTGCAATCCGTACCGTACAAACGAACAGTGTTGGTCAACTGCGACAGAACAGCCATGTCACGAGTGACATTGTTCTGCGATGGCGGCCACTTGAGGCAATCGGGATACTGAACACCCCAAGGCGTATAGTCCACACCAGGGAAGACCTTGTGCAGCTCAGCATTGTTCAGCAGATCCTTGATCTCAGAAGAATCCTTATCAAGATCCCCATTGTTCTTGGAATCATCTGTGGCAGTATCTGCACTGGTAGATTTATCCTCCTTATGCCGACTGCCAATAGTACCACCAACAGCACCACCGACAATAGCCCCGAGAATCACAAATCCAAGCACAAGCCCAACAATCCACCCCATCTTCTTGCGCCCATCCATCCCCTTACCGGGTGTCTTCCCCTCGCTATCCCCGCTCTCCAATCCACCCCCAGGCACGGCATTGTACGCCACATCCGCATTCTTCTCCCGCCCAAAGAATCCAGTCAAAAGCCCTCCAGCCGCAGCGCCCCCACCAGCTGCAGTAGCAGCAGCAGGCAGACCACGATTATTCCGCCCCCTAGGCCCGAAATCCTCATCGCCATCATCGGCAATATCATCCGGATTAATATTCGACATCTCAGATCCCCCATACCCAGAATGACGCTGATACGGCCCATCAATGATACCCTGATACGCTGCGGGATACTGGTCGCCCATAACGCGCGACTCACTCAGGTGTGACGATGACTGGGTAGGAGTCTGGAAGCCCGGCGAGGCAGCTGCGCCGCCTAGCGCCATGCCAGAGCCGTAGGAGTTGTGGTGGAGAGTCTCGGCGCTGGTGTAGTCGGCCGAAGGCACGTAGGGGTTGTCTGAGCCAGAGGTGTTGTAGTCTCGTTCTGCGGGATAGGTGTAGGTGTGGTCGGTGATGCCGCGTGAGGCGTCCAGGCCGCTTTGGCGGTCGTGTGTGTTGGCGATTCCTAGTGCGATGCCACTTATTCCGCCGCCTGCTGAGGCGGGTCCGAGGTTATCCACACCTGGTGTTACTGTGTGGTTTTCGCGGGTGTTGTGGGAGTATCTGTGTGGTGGGGGTGCTGGGATGTCTGTTTCGTCGGTCATTTTGGGTGTTTTGTGTAGATTGGTCTCTCCGGTGGGACACGCTTGGATGAGATGAGATGAGGTGGTGAGATGGAAGGTGCGGAGGGAGTTAAGTGTTGGGATAGGTGAGATGAAATTATCTCATCACTGAAAACAACCGAGTTACTGCAATAGGAAGTGAGACAGTGTTGGATTCCTCGAACAGACAAGTGAGCCGACGAAAGCGACGAAAGCGGGATGTCAAAACACTGGTGGGCCGGACAACCACGGGTCGAGTCGAGATGAACGGGAAAGAAAGAAAAGAAGAAAAGGAAAGAAACGAGGATTTGAAGAGCAATACCTCAATACTTCTGCAATTAATTAATTGATCTGTCCTTTCCACTAATTGCTTTCCTTTGAATATGCGCTTCTGTAAATCTCTCTGGTATGGTGGACCGGGTGGGGAAAAAGACCCTTGACCCTTTTGGTCCCTGTTCTATTTTTAGGCCACAGGTACATCGAGCCACTCAGCTTGCTTATATGCCGCAAACCCGCACTCAAATCATACTCATATTCATTTCATACTCATTTTCAGTCATAAATCATATGGTATCATCCGGACTAAATCCAATATATCGTATCTCAGCGCCAATCCCTCCATACCAACCCTACATTGTTTTTGGTTGTTTTGCGTAGATCCCAACGCCCCACACATAAGCATAGGCATAAGACACAAAGAAACACGCCAAAGAGAAGAACACTAAACTGAATAAAGAAAAATGCAATAGGCAAAAACAAACAGAAATTATCTACGGCGCAACCTCCTCAGCACTCCTCTGGGCAGCATTCTCCAAATGACCACGCTCCAAGAACCGTCTCTTGCCACGACGAGTGTCAAAGTGCTCCGGGATATCCATCGGATCCTGGCCAGCAGCGAGCATACTGCTGCGCATCTTATTGCGGTAAGCATCCACTAGAGACAGAAACGTGTTAGCCGGGTACATGTCTCAGATGAGATCCGGGGTACATGTGAAGTGGAGGCGAAAGGTAAAAATAAGACAAAGCCACATCCAACTGACACATACCCAACCACAACGTTCCTCAAAAAAACAAGAGATGACAACGTGATAGTGAAAAAAAAGAAACAAGGAAAAGGGAAACTCACAAGACCTCTGCAAAAACAACATCCTCCCCGCAAAAACCCGACTCTGACTCCAACTCATCCGATACCCCAAATCATTCAACAAAAGCTCCTTAGTATGCCTCTTCCTCGACAATCTCGGAACCTCAACCTCACCCCCATTCCCAGCCTCAGCCTCAAGCGACGGCACAGGAACAGTCGTGCGACCAAGAGTAGCATCAGAATGCGGATCAGCACCGGCATCAGCATGCTCAGCTTCATCCCTGAAGAACCGATTACCCAGCACAACGCGGTTCTCATCGCGCATCTGGATGGGGAAGTAAGTGCGCGGATAGACGGCGTTGGATTCACGGTATGAATCCGGGATCTCGTCCATGTTGACTTTATCCAGGACGACTTTGACGCGGACACGGCAGCCGCGCTGGGGGTCGTCGACTAGAATGAATTTGCGTCGCTTGCCATCTGGGAGGTGGCTGAAGAGGTCTTCGTTTGTTGGGGCTTGTTCTTCGATGTCGTGGGTTGAGGAGGAGTGGCGGTCGTCCATCCGAGTGGAGGTTGCGATTGTTGGGTGGCGGTTTAGGGAGGCCATTCCTGTGGCGTGGAGGAGTGGGGGCATCGATGGGCCGGCTGTTGCGCTGGAGGGTGTTAGGGTTGTTGGGGCATTGTGGAAGAGGTGGGCGGGTCGGAGGTCTGTCATTGGGGCTGTTGGGAGACGAGTGCTCTCGACGGTGGACCGGTGGTGGGTGGCGGTATTGATGTTGGTGTTGGTGTTGGTGTTGCTGGTGTTTGTGTTTGTGCTTGTGTTGGAGGTGGTGTAATCTGTGCCTATTAAGGCGAGGAGAAAAAGGGAATTAGCCTACGCTGTACAAAAGGTATGGGGAGGAAAATCCGAAGCAGAACAAGAGCCAAAGCACAAGGAGCACGGCAATATCAAATGTAAGACGGCAATGACGATCACGATGACAGGAAGGCAAATCGAACAGGGTATGGAATAACACAAGGCCAAGGTGAGGGTGCATGCCCAGGTAGGGATACATGGTAGGTTCCATCTCATACATCCATTCAAACACACGTCCACTTGTACAACACGTACACACATACACACATACACATATCCTGTGTAAAACAGACACAAAACTCCCACATATACACATACACGCAAGAGACGTATCCGGTCCAACGAAAAGGCCCAAGGAGAAGAAGAATAAAAGAAACAGGAAATACATGAACATGATTGGGAAGGGACCCGATCACGGTGCAAAGGAATCCAAAAACACATCACATATGGTGAAACATACCGCTAACTTCCTCATTAGGACTGCCATCAGGTTGGTGGTGATGATGCTGGAGCTGGGGTGGGCCCATCGACATAGGGCCTAGATTCGGCCGGGGTGCGGGAGCCGACATGGAACCGAGAGGACCGGGAAGACCAGGACCAACAGGACCAGAGCCAGGCATGTGGCTGGCAGGCACAGTAGGAACGGACTGTCTGCGATTGATCTTGGCCATGCGGCGCACACGACGACTGCGCAGTCTGGGGTCCTGGTTACTGTTGCGCCAGCTGTCGACGGCGCGCTGGATGAGACCGCGCTTGCTTCTCAGGGCGGGGTTAAGCTCTGCAAGGGCCCAGCCTACGGCGTTGCACTCGGTCTCGTAGACGAGTCTGTTGCCGCGGTATTGATCCTTGCTGCAGCATGCGCGCGGATATACGCAGTTCTCGGTCTTGAAGTTTTGGTCGAGAGTGTCGACGTTGACGGATTCCACGTCGCAGCGGATGGTGTATTCCATCTTGACGCGGTCTCGTGAGTATTCGAAGGCGATCCACTGCACGCCGTTGCTGTCTTGGCGCACGACTAGCGGGGTTGTGGCTGGGATGGGGCCTGGTGCTGCGCTGGAGCTCCCGCCTAGTGGTGGGCTGGAGTGGATATTGTTGGCGGACATTGGGTGGTTGCTTGTTGCGGAAAGAGGTGGGTTGTGCATTGCTTGCTGTGGTGGAGTAGGTTGCTGGGAGGTGTCGAGTTTCATGATAGGGCTGCTTGACATGGCCGTTGTGGGGATGTGTGGTGACTGATGTGGTGGCAATTGCGTTGGCGCTTTCTGTGGTGGCATCATCATGGATTGTGTTGTGAGAGGGTGATGCTGGGGAGAATGGTGCGCCGCATAGGGCGGCTGTACAGGGTTCATGGAGGAGTAGGGCGGGTAGAACATCTGCGGCATTTGAGGAGAGTGGGCGTAGATGTTGCGGCCATGTTGGTCGTGCGGCTGAGAAGCTACAGAGGCTGGCGAGGTTGATTGGGGAGTGTGATAGATGGGGGGATATGGTCTCTGCATTTGGGCGGTGGATGCCATGAGGTCGGGTGGCCCTAACTCTTGGGATCAGTGGTGTTCATAAGCTAAATGCAAGCTTTGGCAAGTAAGATTGCTGACAGCCGAGACGGGCTTACCGCTAGAAGCGTAATGTGCCGAGGGAGTCGTGTAAGAAGAATGGGTGGTATAGTAAGGCGCTTCTTGAGGGCCGTAGTTGATTCCGTTCCCTAGGGTGTGGGGAGGGTACGTCGAGATAGAAGAGGGCTGAACAGGCGACGCAGGGCCTTTCTGAGCTAGAATCGAAGACTGTAATGCCTGGGAATGAGAACTCGAATGTCCAGTGTGTCGAAGCTGTGGCAGAAGCATGCATCAGTGACTGAAACTTAGCCCTCCCAGAACGATGTGACGAGACTGGTGACACAACCAGAGAACGTGGATGAAGAGAAAGAAAAAGAAAAGTCTTGGGAACACAGCCAGAGTCCGGAGCGGAGTGACGACAGCCTCTATGGGGATTCGCATCAGAGGCTCAGTGGATGGCTTGGGCCATGGAAACCTCGAGCAGGGATTGCCTTAGGTGCATACCGAATGGCCAGGGTGGAACCAGGATTGTCCGTCCAAAGGAAAACAAAAGCATGGATCTGTGTAGCGCTGACGATATTTGCGAGTTTTTTTTTCTTCCGAGGCCAAGTAGATGGTTCCAAAGCTACACAAGCTTTAGGCACGCTCGTTGCGCCTCCATTGCGCATAGCTCATGTAGTTCTTCAAGGGCTCCCAAAATGAGTACAGGTGGAATTGAGCTCCGTGTTCAGCGTATGCCGGCATGTTCCATTGGGCTTATCCGTTCTGAATCGGCCATGTTTTGAAGGTAGTCCATGCGAATATCGAGCGCGAGAGAAACGGAAAGGCGCCCAAGCGCGAGAGAAAATCCACACATATAACCTCATATGAAAAATAATCAAGAAGATCGAAATAATATTGAAGTAGGAAAGATCTCACAAAAAGCTATAATGAAACGGGGAGAGGTACAGAGACTTGGAAATGATACTCACGGAATCATCAATAGGATCTTCCTTGTACTTCGTCCCAAGGTCAGGCTGTATCATGCCGGTAAACGGCAACTCTCACAGGCCAGGATAGAAATGTCGAGGATGGAAAAGAAAACTGGGATTCGGGTTCCTTTTGGCGTAAAACCGCGCGTGGGAGCAGGGAAAGGTAAGAGGGCGATCCCGTGAGGCTAAACAGAAGCTGCGCGACACTAGGGGTTCAAGATGGAGGGTCCAGGGTTATTTAGCACCCGCGAGACCCCATTCTCAGGGAGGCAAATCTTGATAAAAAAAAAAAAGAGTAAAAAAGAAAAAGAAAAGAGGAGAAGAAAGAAAGAGAGTAAAAAGAAAAAAAGAAAAAGCCTAAAAAGGAAAGGCGAGAAATAGGTCTTTGAAGGGAGATTACTCGAGGCCTGTAAAGATCCGAAAGGTATTTCAACGGGGGGATGATATGCAGCATGCAGTTAGACAAAGAAGGTGGGGAGTGGGGAGCGAATCTAAAGATTCACGATGTAATTGCTGAAGCTCGGAGCCGGTGGAGGGATCATGATACGTCAAAATATTAAAATAAAATAAAAGGTGAGACCTGATCAGGATTCTGATTGCGCATGCTAAACAAGCGCCGTTAGAAGGGAAGTAAAATAAATAACAATAAATAAAAAAAGCCCTAGTTTTGGACTACTGTAAGTAAGTTATACGGGAACTCCGTTGAGATCAAGTCTAGAATGAAGATTGAGTGGACCTCCGGGGCCTCGAGGCTAAAGCTGACGTCGGATCGTGCAGAGGCCAGTTTCAGGTACGGAAATTCCCTTCGGAGTATAAAGAGGATCGGCGGAAACAAAGAATCCTTTGGGGACGCGTACTGTAAGTTACACTGATCTCTAACCTGTTTCCACGGCCCAATTGTAGTACATTTGACTCCATCTAAATAAACTCGAAACAGCCTAACGCCCATCGTTCTTACCAGTCCTTATTATCCCGAGATTAAACATCGACTATACTCTGCTGTATACTGTATACTGTATACTGAATACTACAGCACAAAGCTAGGTATTCGGTAGGCGGCTAGGGCCAGCATCCTAAACCTCGATGGCCTCCACCCGGGTCCGCTCTATCCCGCATGAATTTTAGCGCATCTTAGTCGATCTTGGCGATTGAAACAGCATTTAAAAATTGGTGGGAAAAAAGCAGATGAGGACAAGCCCCAATTTCCCCTCCCTTTTTTCTCCGTGAAATCGGCCGATGCATAACACTCCTAAGCATTTCCAAACCCCCTCCCCCCCGGTCCTTCGCCATGTGAAATACCCGACTAACGTCGCGCCTAGGCATATGCATTTGAATCCCTACAGTAGGCCGGGTAATCAATAATAAATTGTGTGTAGTATGTATAACGGCTCAGGAACGGATAACCGGCTGCGGCTCTCTTTGACAGACAAAAGGAGAAAAGACCAGTGTCGATTGCGCAGTCACTTTGCATAAAGGGAAATTACGTCCCTCCCACTTCGGGGGATTCGAGTTTGGATTAATAAGAATGTCAAAAGGTTGCTTCCAGAAGCAGGCTAGTTCCGGAGTTTGCGGCAGCTGGCCAGCCGAACTCGACAGTAGAGCTGAAATGCCAATGAAAGCGACATATGAGGAACATGAGAAACTCAGCCTTGAAGGTTGGAGCTAAAACCTGTGCACGGTGCTTGGTCCCCCCTTTCTCTACGTGGGTCTACACTGTATCTCTCTTTATTGGCGTAGATTGTGATCGATGCAGGGTGCTGGGGGGTCCGCGGTATTCCGTCAAGCCGTACCCGTAGTTCCCTTGTAATTTTGGTCGGAAAGTGTGCCGTGGAGATATACGAACCACTTCCCCCTGGATCCTTTGGCTCGATGTAACACCGTTGTGATTTGGGCTGGTCATTTTCGGTTTTCCCATGCAGGCTAAACCCGATGAAGTAACAGCACTGTGACTTTGCGTGAAGCATAATCACCCTTCAAACGCGGCCATAGTCAATAGTCATAGTAAATTACCTCGGAGCACAATCAGCCGACTAGTTACTCGTTCGGGAGTCACATTCACCATGGTAAAAGAGTTGCAGATGGCATTGCCACGTTGGCCTGCGGCACCCCTTGCTTCCTGCAGCCTGTCTCTTCACCTCCAGAACTAGCTTTCTTGCTCCCCGAGCTTATTCGTAGGATTCTGAAGCCTGAGTATCCACGGAACTCACTGTTGACAAATCGCCCTTGGTGCTCCGTTCACAATTCAGACAATATCAAGCGACGCTCGGCCCCGCGCCCGTTGTGCCACTAGGCGCCAATGGCACGAGGGGAGGGAGGGGGACGGGTGAAAAGCCACAATCTAGACGATCGTCCCTATGGTCCGCGGATTTAAAAGGCTCAAGGTAAATTGATGTGGTAGCTTCTTGGCAGGCGTCGCGTCCACGGAAAGGCTAAAATGAATCAAGAATATACCTGATTTCTCTGTTACATATACGCGTTTATACTCTGATGATCTGATCTTCCAGGATTTGCCCCCAAATTAAAGTTGTCATACCCTTGTCTCTCACCCATGCGGATATCGGCCACCGTGCTTAGTTTGCGATGATCGACCCCAGGGCTGTTCAACGGTTCTTCCCTGACAAATCACCCACTTAAGCAATGTTTACTGTAGGGCTCCTATATACTGTAATATATTCCTTGTAAACCTGTTTTTCCAACCCTCCGACTCGATCCTATTGGGAAGGGAAAAAAAAGAAACCAAACCAACATTCTCCGCACTCCGGATTGCCCTAAGAGGGATGCGTTTCGATACACGGGAGATCCCTCCGAGGGGCAATGATTAACCGGGGCAAATACCTTCAACGGCCGTCTCCGACCCTCCTTTGTCTACGAGTAAAACATTCAAGAGCCATGGGAGGCAACATTGAGAACGGCCCCACCACCCGGATCCGAGGATGGAGCTTCGAACGTGGAGTCGAACGACTACCGAGTCCGATATTTTTAGGCGAACAGTCCAGAGCGAAGTGGATGCCTAAAGGCCGTTGCAAGTGTGGAAATGATAGTCGCATTACTAGCGTTACTAGAGCCTAAGGTAGATCCCGTCCAATGGAATCCCTCGTGATAGCGTATGTGGTATATGGTCGCAGTATATGGCTTTCAGGCCTCTCACACCGAATCTTCTAAAGCAAACCCAAAACCTATGTAGACCTAACTTGCTTCTCACCGTAGAGAAACTTTGTGAGCCATCCACGCGAAACAGTGTTAGGCTGCAGTACGGGCGCAGTAGCGTGTCGCGTGGCCGGAGTTAGTTAATATTGTTTCAGAATCGTGACCAGATTGGGAGGGGCTGTTATTTCCCCCGACCTAAGGTCCAAGTCTCTCCAAGTGCGTGCTTCCCTCCGGAATATGAGGCAAAGTGGAAAGCTGAGATGATGATCGCTGCAGAGAAGGTGGAGAGACAAACACACCGTTCCTATACTTAGGGAATTATAATGCAGCCAGTTAACTTAGGTTCTAAAACCCGAGCCGAACGTGAAACGGGTGATTGTAGCCTCGTGTCCTTGATATCGATCGCATAGGGAAATTGACATGTACATGTACATTGTTGTACTGGAATTATCCAATTGTCTACTCTGTAGTCTCGTACCCTACGTCAGACCACCACCTGAGCAAAACGCGCCTAGTCCCTATTTAATAGCCACCATAATTCTAGCCGATATGAATCGGTGCTCATCTCGGCCTCATTGGCAATGACACCATCGGACGGAGACTAAATGTGTCAAGAGGCGGAAGCAGGGGGGGTCGCGCGTTTGCGTTTGCCCCCATGTGCCACGGCGATCATAGACATGTTTGGGATAGTCGCACATTAGAAACAAAGAAACTTGATTTTACTATTTTTTTTCCCCTTCGTATCTCCTACTTTATGGATAAGATTGGCAGCTGAGAAGATTCAATCGCGACGAAGATCGCTTATTTCGTCATGATCGGCGAGTTTCTCGTTTGTCCACTGTCAGCACTATATCCCAATACCCATGCTATACGGAGTTTTACTGGTAGGCTCTACTATCCTTGGCTTACAGGTTAAACATCCATGGATCAAGAGGACACGGATCAATCCCGACAAGCGAGCGGGAATCCCCAAGCTCCAAGCTCACCAACCCACCAACCCACCAGTCCACCAGCCCCATACGTGGATCTGGACCGAGAAACAAGGTCTCCATCCATTCAATGTATATCACTGGCGAAAAGGTCCCGTCCGGGAGATCTTTCTGGATCTTCGTTGGCTTATTCCCCCCAGTGACATTCAGCCGTTCCAGCCCTCGCCACAGACATCAGACC